CGGAGGAGGTATGGTTTCCGTCGGAGGAGGGATATCCGAGGACGGAAGTGACGTCGGAGGGGTCGATGGCATTCCATGAGATGTCGTCCGGAATTCGATGCTGCCCAAAACCCAGTCAATCAACGGATTGTGTCGGGTGAGCCAGCTATATCCAAGAACGATAAAACAAGATGAATCCAAAGGGGTAACGTAGAACGTATCAGAGGTGACTACACCGGACGGAAAGCGGACGGACAAATCTATAGCTTCGGAAATAGTATTATTACAAGTACCATCAAACAAGCGGAGCGGAATCGTAGGTATCGGATATGTAGGGATTTTGTGTTTTCGGATGAACGCAGTATCTATGAAACAATGAGAAGAACCACAATCTACAAGAGCTGGAAATTCGGATACGGATGGAAGTAACGGAAGTGAAACATATGGACAGAGGGAAGTCGGATCCGAGAGCGCGACAGCGTTGAGTCTTAACTCCTTTGTGCAGGCAGAGTCAACGCGACCCTCTTCCTGCACGGAGCTAGGAGAGTCGCGGACTATTTTTTTGTCTCAGTAGAGACATCCGGTTTGACTTCCGGAGCGACTACTGCAGCGCGGCCTTTGGCAGCACGCGAAGTAGACTTGGTGCATTCCCGAGCAGTATGACCGGGTCCACCACAGAATAAGCAGAGTTTCTTGTCCATTCTTCTCTGCCGCTCTTCGGACGTTAACTTTCCGTCCTTACCCAGCTTGGAAGTAAGATCTGGAACCTTAGGAGCGGACGAGTTCGAGGACGCGGATGGCTTTGTAGACTTCTGATCATGGGAATTTCCGGATTTGTGATTTCCGGATCCGGACGTATTGGAGTTCGTCCGGTCAGAAGTGGATTGCTTAGGGGTAGTGGATGAAGTGGGTTTAGCTTCTCGAGAGATCTCTCCCTTCCGTTCCCAGTATCGGGCGTCGATAGTCTGAGCGAGGACTTTGTATTCGGAAAGAGTAGAGGGTTTACCCATGCGACTGATTTCATCCTTGATACGGGCCGGGAGTCCGTTGTAGAATTGGCGTCGTAAGGCTCCGTCGCCCCAGCCACGAACCTGTGAAGCAAGACGCTGGAATTCCACAACGTACTTGTTGATGCGCTGTCCATCGCGCATGTGGAGCTGTTCGAGCTGCATTTCTGCATCACCGGATGGGTCATGAGGCCCGAAGTTGGCTTGGAGTTCAAGCATGAACACGGAATAGTCATCCATCCAATCCGGATGGTCGTCCAAATCATCGGACAGGAGATCCGGTTCAAACCATTCAAGGGCCATACCCTTAAGGTAGGATTGGGCGAAGTTGACTTTAGCCCTTCCGGTACGGAAAGCCTTAGGCTTGCTCTGGAAGTTAAGCTCACACTGGACAAAGAACGCACGGAGCTTCCGTGGTTCGGATCCGTCGAAGGTATCCGGTTCTCGGACCTTGACTCTAGAATCTTCGGATGCAGGCGCGCGACGATTATTGCGAGCAAGGTTATCGATGGCTTCTGAGAGTCGAAGCATAACGCGGTCTTGTGGGTTTAGACCGTCATTTTCATCATCCTCAACATCCGGATCATCATCCGGATCACCACCGTTATCATCGGGTGGATTACCAGGGAAATCATCATCACCATCATCGGGATCATCATCGTCCGGAGGTCCTACGGCAGGAGTGCGTGTTGGGGTTTCCGGGTGTCGACGATTAAGGAGTTCGGATATGGTTTGAGCGGTTCCGTGGGCGCTAACACGGCGCTGAGAGAAACTGGTGAAGGTGTTGACTATAGGTGTCGGATCACGACGGAGGGAGGTTAGTCCGACCGCATGCAGAGTTGTTTGTGTCTTGGTAGGAGGCATGATAGATGTTAAGTAACTCGGAAAGGTATGAGTTCGAATATACTGTTAAGACCGTACTCAAGTAGTATCGGATCCGAAGGGCTTCGGCCTCAGCTCGTGCGCTGTGCCCCTTTCCCGAGTCTTGCCCCTTATTTCAGAGAGCTAAAGTATCGCGTCTAGTGAAACGGATAAGTATTGCAATGGATCCGTTAAGACTTCCGGATATCGAACGTATAGAGTAACGGCCAATCCGGATCAGATCCGGACTAGAAACTAACGGGTGAGGACTGTCCGAAGACAGAGGCGGATATGTAGACTTATAGGAATCTATCCTAAGTCTCAGAGTAGACAAGAGTAGCGTACTCAAGTCCGGATGGATAACGGAGGGACTCAGAGTCCAGACGGAATGAGTGCAATCTAAGATGATATTCGAACTGATCTACTACAGCGCATATACAAAGGTTTATATACTACGGATAGCTAACGGAATGATCAATAAGCAAAGTCTAAGTGGAGTGTATTGGTAAGTTGGATGGATCACGAATCATGAACCGGGAATGAAGTACAAGTAAAAGCGGATTCGTAAGTGTAGCAGATCAGTAAGCATAGCGGATCAGTAAGCATAGCGGAAGTAAAGGATAACCGGTATACCGGTGTACAGGAATACCGAAAGGAGATGAACGATAGTTAGAGTTATATGAACAGGAAATGAAATAAGAATCAAAGCGGATCTGTGGACCGGACGACGGATATGTTCATCGGATCTGGATCGGATCTGAGATCCAGATCATCGGATCTGTAACCGGATATATGGTATATGACAGACAGACTCGATGTTTGGGGGGGCCCTTGAACCAGTACCACCACCAATGGTCGGTTTTCCCACGCAAAAATTTGCGGGCAAGGCTGAGCAACTACAGCTCACAGTAATCCACTGGCCATATCCCCACCTCCATCTAAAGGAAAATGAACAAAACCATACCAAAACCAATGTTGACCCCCAGAACATATGTACGAGCTGAACCCGCAAATGAACAGCACAACACTGAAAACTACCGACCCACGTCCCAAGACAACACCCCAATAACTGACAACGAGGCACCCTCTCTGTGTTAGCACAATTATCCATCACACTAAGCTCAAATAAAAAACCCCCATGAAGAAGATGGGCTGCGCTCGATGTAATACAGTGGCTCAAAAAACTGTCCGCATGTTTTGACATTTTTCACTATCTATGATATTGTGTGAGAATGAACAAATTCCTCAAGGACATACTTATACCACATTGTAGTATGGCTTCAGGGCTTTTATTTGAGCCCTACACCGTGGGAATCGGCGGAGATATGGTGGAGATATAAGGCTTATAAAATGATGACTCATGTGGACAGTTTTTTGAGTGTATATTAAAACTATATAAATCATTATTTATGACACCATAAAAATCATGCCACTATTATATAAATTATAAAGTGGTGTCATTATGTTATTTTATGACTATATCTAACTATATAAACCAGAATATCTCATGTATCATAGTCATAATCACCATGAAAGCCATCTCCTCTGCTCAAAGAGATAATATCCTCTCTCTGTCTTATGCTGGCCTCTCTGCTCACCAAATTTCCTCTAGAACTGGAATATGCAAGTCCACTGTGGCCAAGTTCATCAAAGAAAGCCACCCAGACAAGGAAAACTCTTGTGGAGGACGTCCATCCAAGCTTACCTCTACTGACAAAAGGGCTATTATCCAACATATCACTACAGGAAAGGCTGATAATGCTGTCCAAGCCACCCATTATATCAATTCCACCATCACTACCCCTGTCTCTTCACAAACTGTGAGGAATGTTCTCAAGGCAGCTCATCTCAAGGCAGTAACAAAGAAGAAAAAGCCTCTTCTCTCCATCAAACATAGGCAGAGAAGACTAGCCTTTGCCTTAGCTCATCAACACTGGACTGTAGAGGACTGGAAGCATGTTATATGGTCAGATGAGACCAAAATCAATAGGATTGGGTCAGATGGGAAGGTGTATGTATGGAAAAAGAAGGGAGATGGCCTAACAGACAGAGAGGTTAATGGGACTGTCAAGTTTGGAGGAGGTTCTTTAATGGTATGGGGCTGTATGGGATGGAATGGTGTGGGAATGCTTGCTGAGGTTGAGGGGAAGATGAATGCTGAGCAGTATGTGGACATTTTAAATGACCACTTGCTGCCTAGCTTGGCAGAATCAGGGATTGATGAAGAAGATATCATTTTCCAACAGGATAATGATCCCAAGCACACATCCAGAAGAGCTAGGGAATGGTTTGAAGAACATAACATCAATGTTCTTGACTGGCCAGCACAGTCTCCTGATGTCAATGTCATTGAACATCTCTGGGGAACACTCAAGAAAAAGCTTCAAGCCTATGAAAACCCCTCTAAAGGAGTATGGGAGCTTTGGGAGAGAGTAGCAGTGGAATGGGGGAAGATCACAGCTGAGGATTGCCAGAAATTAATTGAGAGTATGCCTAGAAGGATAGAGGCAGTAATTAAAGCCAAGGGAGGTCATACAAAATACTAGAATACCTGGTTATTACTGTAAAATACTTGAGTCAAAAAACTGTCCGCATGAGTCACCATTTTGTGAGCCTTGTATCTCCACCATATCTCCACCGATTCCCACGGTGTAGGGCTCAAATGAAAGCCCTGAAGCCATACTACAATGTGGTATAAGCATGTTTTTGAGGCATTTGTTTGTTCTCACACAATATTATAGATAGTGAAAATGCCAAAACATACGGACGGTTTTTTGAGCCACTGTATAACTGACTGTTAAACTGACTCCACCCCACCTATCGCCTCCACTAACCGTCTCCCATGAGAACTACTACCCATATAGATGAATCACGCTACAACACATCCTCTTATCGCCAAAATGATCTCGGCCACGACGCAACCCCCGAACCTACCTACCGAAGACCAGCAGAAAACTGTGCCCGAACCCATCATATAAAAACCCCCAGAAACCATCGAGGAAACTCCGTCCACTCTAGAGATGAAAGACAAAGAGCCAAGCTCACTCAAAGTCCACTCTCAATCCACCCGCCCCTACCCCTCTACTCCACATCTACCATCTCAGACACCTCGCGAAGGACCACACTACTTCCGTTCTTCCAGACGACGACGACATGGACCAGCACTTGAACTTCTTACCCGACCCACCCTCCTCACCTGCCTCTCCCCCTGATACTCCCACACCCACCCACCGCAAAATTGCTGGCCCCACCCCTCCAACAAACCCCCTCGTAACCCAAGAGCTCAAAGTGACTACACCTGTTAAGAACCTGGAGAGTAACGCTACTCAAAGCGACCTGAGTAACTCTATCCATGCTCCTGGAAATGCCATAGTGGACCAAGCAATGAGTGCTCCACCCAGCCAGCCCACCATGAGCACACGCACACAAACTGCGGAAGAAGGTGCAATCCTTGCACACCTTGCACTAGCAGAAGCAAATAGATCTGTCCTAAGTCGGGACGGCATAAACTATCGTACTATACTCCCACAGTTCACCCCTACGCCTGTGGGAGGATTCCCCAAAGTACACATGGCCCACTCGGCACAAATCTTTGATCACCTTGACAACAAGGTGTTGTTAGCCTGGTTCCAAGTGGAACACCCAAAGTTTATGGTCCGCGTCTTTGACCACTCAGGCAAAGACGTTGCAGAGAAGCCCGCAATCATCGCAGAAAGACTCCGCGCTAGTATAGCAATCATAGCTGACTTCGTCCACCAAGAAGCCCCCCCCCCATCCACATCTCCCCCCTGCAACCCCATGGCAGTAGAGGGGCGAAAGACTTCCCTGTCGGTTTCTTAGTGCATAGACTGCCTGAGGAGACGGCAAATCTCATCGTCAACCAGTGCATCTGGTCCTCCACAGACATCACATTCGAGGCACTCCCCTTCAATTGCACACACCCCCCGGAACTACTCTTTTGCTTGTCCGGCTTCACTACCTCGAACACAGACGTCGTCCGGAAGGCCGTCGTGGATGTCTGGGCCCACAACAACAACAGGCACCACATCGACAACACTTTCTCAATGTGCGGCTTCCCAAACTGCAGCTTCCCAGACGAGGAATTGGTTTACAAAGCCACGCGAGAATTCATTATCTCCGTCTGCATTGAACTCCTCAATTTCAAAATCACTGGAGGCCTCTCCATACCCCGCTTTAACATCCTCGCGTCTAGTCCCACCAATGATGCAAAAACCTGGACAGACCTGTGCGGCTTCCTTCACCTCTTGGAATACCCAACCGGCCTTGACGGCTGTGGGATAGCAGCGGCCCTGTACCCCTGCCAGATCTGCCACTCCCTCACACATCCCCGCGGCCTATGCCCATTCCCCCAAGTTCCACTCTGGAATGGCCCAAAATTGAGCGCCAGGAACGCGACGAACTCATCCCACCAATCGGGGAGACCTAGAGGCGGTAAGAATGGCCGCCACACCTAGACACACCCATGCACTATCCCCTCGCCAATATATACAAATGGTACAGACATCCCCCTACACATATAACCCACCAAGCACCCCTCAGCCCTATCACTACTACTACCTACATCCACATATCTGTACCTCCTTGTGCCAACCATCATCGTGAATATATCCTGTCGCTATCACTGTGCCCACAACACTAAGACTAACAAAACATGCCCCAAAGACTCCAGCCTAGGCCCGGTTCCTACCAGCTATGTGAGCCATTGGAAAGCAACAACGGTTTGTCGAGACACAGACCGTAAAACATAGACCCCTGCCCAAATATACTGACTGTGCAAACGGGACAGGAAAGCAGGTGTCGTCTCACCAAAGCATGGTGCATGCCAGACCACAGATACCTATTTAGGTTCGGACGAGCCGTGCCGAGAGGCTGAAGTTTTCATTAGTAGTAAATAGTAATGACCTGGGCATTGCTATATATCAAAAATGCTAACATAGTCCACTGCTAGTTGGTCATAACATGCCGGCTCTGAGCTACATACATGATTGTATGGTAGCTCTAGTATGACGATCACCCCAAATACGCCTTTCATGCCCCCCCCCCCCCCAACACGGTCCCTCAACTGGTTTTGGTTCTCACCCCCCCAGATGTGGAGGAGGGCAGCCTCGAGCCACTGGGAGGCCCTTCGATGACTGTCCTGGGAGTTCTGGAAGTGGAAGTGCCCTAACCGGGCAAAACCCCACTCAGCCTCAGATAATGAGTGGGAGTAACACATACGCACCGCGTAACTACTACCGTGACCACTTATACACCCAATCACAACTATCAAGACTCACCCAACCCATCATGCCCGTCCCCAACACAACGACCCATTCCCCTCCCGCACCTAACATCAACTGGGACCCTGTACCCCAAAACACGGCGACAGGCCAACCGCCCCTAGGACATACCAACACAGACCGCAAAATGAGAGCAAATATTAAAATCGCAACTTTAAACATCAAAGGACACACATCAATGCACCTTGGTCAAAATCAAATCTCCAAATGGACAACAATCAATAGAGAAATGAGAGAAAAACAGATCGGGATATTATGTGTACAGGAAACACACCTGTGCCCCGAACACCAAACGCAAATTGACACCCTGTATGCGCGAAGATTAGTAGTCTTGAACTCTAGTGACACGACGCGCCCCTGCAGCTCAGCCGGAATAGCATTCATACTCAACAAAGAGATTATAAATACCACTAACACTAAAATACAAGTATTAATACCGGGACGAGCAGCCCTTCTCTCCATTAAATGGCATGAAAACAATATAATAAAAATATTAAACGTGTACGCACCAAACAACCCAAATGAACATCTGAATTTCTGGAACAAAATTAAATCAGAATGGCTAAAACTAAGCCTTGATGCCCCGGACCTCATGATGGGCGATTTCAACCTCACTGAAGACCCAATAGACTGGGCCCCAGCACGATTTGATAACGAAGCCACAATAGATGCACTGTGCGACCTGAGAACAACACTGCAGGTACAAGACACCTGGAGGATAGCACATCCGCACTGCAGGATATTCACCTTCAGCAGTAACCACCAAACACTGTCAAGACTTGATAGAATATATGTGTCAGAACGCCACGCGACAAGTTTGATTGACTGGGACTCACACATCTGCCAAATACCAACTGACCACCACCTAGTCTCAGTGAGACTCGCTCCACCAAACCTACCCCACATCGGGAAAGGCCACTGGTCCTGGCCACAAGGTCTTGTAACAAACACCGACCTAATGGACAAAGTCATCACCCTTGGCATTAAAGCCCAAGCCGATATTGAGAACCCTACCCCCCACACCAATGAAATAAACCCCCAAAGAATCTGGTGCTCCTTAAAAAATGATATGAACACAATAGCCAGAGACACCGCAAAGACTCACCTACATAAAATAAACCAACGAATCCACTCCTTAACAAAAGACATGCGCAAACTAGCAAATGACCGGAACATTGACGGATCGGAAGATGTGAGACTGAATGAAATACTCCTTGAAAAAGAAATCAGCCACCTGCAAAAAAGAACTTTAAAAAGGCCTCCCTCCGTGCACAAGCACAATGGGCTACACATGGTGAGACCATCAGTAAGTACTGGTCCAAAGTAAACAGCCCTAAGACCCCAAGAGACATCATCCACCGACTCCAGATACACAACACTGAGAGATACACATGTAAGTCGGAAGAAATGGCTGAAATCACGAAAACATACCACGACACAATTCAATCAGCCGACATACTCCAACACACTGAAAACATCAAACGTCAAGTGAGAGAACAATCCCTTGCAGAAATCCCGGAACACCAAAAACTTGAAACACCACCAGAATCAATGAACGAAGTACTAACAGAACAACAAGTCCTCAATGCCCTCACATCATTGAAGTCCAGAAGTGCTGCAGGCATTGATGGTATACCATACAATGTATGGAAACTACTCCACCAGAAACACAACGAAGCTAAAAAGAATGAGAAACCTAGCTTTGATGTGATCAAAATAATGACGCACATAATGAAGGATATCCAACTGCATGGTGTAACAGCCGATTCCCCATTCACAGTGGGATGGATGTGCCCCCTATATAAGAAAAAAGACTGCTCAAAAATTGAGAACTACCGCCCGATCACTCTACTAAACACAGACTACAAAATACTCACCAAAGCCCTTGCAATTCAAGTAGCCAGCGTCATCCATAAGCTGGTACACCCCAACCAGAGTGGCTTCATCCCCAGGAGGTCCATATTCGACCCTATACGACTGGCACAGACAATGATGACCTACGCCGATCTAATGGAGGAAGATGGAGTAATCATAGCGCTCGACCAAGAAAAAGTGTACAACAAAATCCAACACACCTACCTCTTTGAGACCCTGGAATCCTTCCACCTGCCACCGCTATTTGTAAAAACTGTCAAAAACCTATACCAATCAGCATACACCCACGTAGCAATAAACGGCTTCCTTAGCTCACCATTCAAAGTCACAAGAGGGGTACGTCAAGGTGACCCCCTCTCCTGCCTACTATTCAATTTAGCCATAGAACCCCTGGCATGCGCAATAAGGAACTCACCAAATATCAAAGGCTTCCAAATCCCAGGCCTAAACGACCGGGTGGTAGTAAACATGTATGCTAATGACACCACAATTTACCTCTCGTCCGAAGATAAGTACTTGGACCTAGAAAACATCCTAAAAGATTGGTGCCTGGCGTCAGGAGCAAAGTTTAACCTAGAGAAAACAGAAATACTACCAATTGGCTCTAAAACCCACAGAGAAAGAGTAGTGCAACAACACAAAATGCACGCCCTGGATGTACCATGGCATGACTCAGTGAACATAGCAAAAGACGGAAATCCAATATGGACACTTGGCGCATGGGTAGGAAACGAGATCGACCAGACAACCTCGTGGGAACCAGTCCTCGAGAAAATAGAACGCAACCTTACACGATGGAACCAATGCCACCCCTCTCTAGATGGAAAGCGACTCATAGTCCAAATGATAGTTGGCGGCATGACTCAATTCCTAACAAAAGCACAAGGGATGCCTAAACAAATTGAATCGGCACTAACAAAGAAAATATGCACCTTCATCTGGGAAGACCGAAAAACACCACCCATAAGCCTCTCAAGACTTGAAAGACCAATTGAAGAAGGCGGACTAGACCTGCTGAACATCAGAGCGAGAAACGAAGCAATCGAGATAACCTGGGTAAAGGCCTTCATGGATATATCCAACGCCAGACCAACCTGGGCATTTGTGACCAACGCCATCATCAACACCTTAAAACTGAGTGGGATTAGGAACCAGTCAGACATAAACTCATTCCTTACCTCCTGGGACCCGCCCACCCAAGGCCAAAAAGCAAACTGACTGCCAAAGACCATAATGAATATGTTGAAGTCTGCACGCAAACACAACGTGAGCTTCGCACCTATCAAACTATCAGCACAACTAAAAAGCCAAATGCCCACGTGGTGCCACCTAGGCGCCCAACCCAAAACATACCACAAAACGAAAGACAAATGCTTGCACTCTATACACAAAGTTAAGTCAGTTAGAGACCTAAAAGAGACAACGGCGAGACTAAACAACACTGGTACCCACTATGCAAAAGCAACCTGTGTATGCAACACCTGCATTGACGACAGACTGGCTGGCTGTAAGAACCCCGACAAATGCGCCAGGACGGCCAAACACATCCTTGACAACCTAAACCCCCTGTTCAACCTGAACATGTCACCTAGAAAAGACGATTTAACTCTTACACACAGACGACTGGAAAAAAACTCACAAATGAGAACACGACAACAGGGCGAGATCCTATTTGATCCTTCGGTTACATCTAAAAACCATCTGTCAGAATGCTTCCGAATATTCACCAACCCCGACAGACTCATACAAATCCCAGCTTATCGCCTCCGTATCCCGAGAACAGGCTGAAACACAACGAGCGAACAAGTGACCGTGTACACTGACGGATCCTGCATCAACAACGGAAAGAAGAACGCCACCTGCGGAAGCGGAATATGGGTTAGCGAAAACAACCCATTAAACAAGGCAGTCAGTATACCAGGTGATAAACACTCAAACCAAATTGGCGAGTTAATGGCGGTACTAGTAGCCCTACAATCGGTTAACCCGTTAACCCCACTGAAGATCATCACCGACTTGAAATATGTCATTAACGGACTGACAACACACCTAAAGCACTGGGAAGACATAGGATGGATTGGCATCGACAACGCGGATATATTCCAAGCCACAGCCTACCACTTAAGAAGACGCCCAGCACCCACTACATTCCAGTGGACTAAAGGACATGATGGCCTCACTGGCAATGAACAAGCAGACCAACTAGCACGTACCGGCGCACTAAAACCGACCACCGACGATATAGACACATATGTACCGAGAAACTTCGATACACAAGGTGCTAAATTAGAAATGATAACTCAGAAATTAGCGTACAAGGCCATAATGAATAAATCCCACCTTGAATACAAAGAACCACATTATCCCTGCTCGACGTGTCTAGATTCGCAATACAAACAGTGTCGTCAACCCTGGAAACAGATGCCACGATCTGGCGAAACTGTAGACATAAAGATATATCAAAGAAAGTACAGACGTTCCTGTACAAAACTCTGAACACTGCATACCGAATAGGTGACTTCTGGACATTAATCCCCTCATACGAACACAGGGCAACCTGTCAACACTGCCCCGGTGAAACCGAATCCATGGAACACATCCTAACCCAATGTAGCGACCCTACCCAGAAAACCACTTGGAATTTAGCAAGTAAATTATGGCCACAATGTCACAGACCTTGGACGGACCCTAACATAGGCATCATCCTTGGATGCAGAACCATTACCATCCTGAGCACCCCACAAGACGACGACACGCCCCATCGACACGACGCCGCAATAAAGAAAGGCACCTCACGCCTCCTGTGAATCCTGATATCAGAATCAGCATACCTAATCTGGACCCTAAGATGCAAAAGGGTGATACGAGAAACGACTCACTCGGAAGAACAAATCAAGAAAAGATGGTTAAACGTTATAGACCGCCATTTCCAACTAGATCGCGCGATAGCCAGCAAAACTAGAAGAGACACCAAAACAACAATAAGAGTAAGATCCACGTGGTCTGACGTCATAAACGACGCACAACAAAACCAAACCTATGACGACTGGGTGTCCAACCCTGAGGTTTTAGTGGGTATCACGCTGCCCAGGCCCTCGCAGACCGTGGAAACCAGGCAGAATTAGAGTCCCACACTACTTCACAAAGTGAAGTGTGCGTAAGAGCATTTTTCCTCGGACGATATTTACTAGTAGATATCGCTATAAGCGTTTACATAGGGCCAGACGGTGTCGGTTGCTGTGTAATAGACTCGCTTCTCCAAAAAAAAAAAAAAAAGACTCGATGTTTGGCTTTGTTAGGAATAGAAGGTCAAGGTTATATTAATAGTACTACTGCGCAGAACGCTGAAGTTGAAATGCAGTGTTTTGAATTATATTACTGGCAAGAATTTGACGTAGCAGTGGAGACGGAATTCAAACACAGACACTACACCTTATATACTGCAGAATTTACAGGTTTTTACTTGCAATACAAGGATATTATCTCTCCTAGTATTTCTACTTCAACACATCTGAAGACGTACTAATATTACCGAGTACAGCATGCACAACAACCTCGTGACCTCCTGCAGGTGGACAAGCGCCCAGCACTCGTTCTCGAACTGTATGCCACCCGGACCGTCCAGCAAGCTTTCCATAGATTGAAACATCCATTCATCCCATTCCCCATCTCCATCGCGCTTTGGGACCCAAGTTGACAACTTACCTTGACTTCAACAGATCCTTCAAATCCTCGTACGTCGTCCCTGGAGATAAATATCACTCAGATGATTTCTAACCACACCCAGCTAGTACTTTCAATTTGTCCGTTTCATCACGCATATCACAACCTTCGTGAATGAGTGAGGAACAATGTCGGTATTCTCACTCTTGTCCCTCTCTCGCTTTCTGACCTTTTGACAGTTCTTCCATCGTTCGAAGGAACTTGGGCGAGGCTGTCCCAGGTTGCTGTAAACGGTGCTGAATACAACTCCCGAGAACGTCAGCCCCACCCGAAATGTTTGGAAGGAACCCGGGTGGATCTCCTCGCCTACATATACGAAGTACTAGACGACCCAGAGAAGAATCGACTTATTTGGCTGCACGGCACGGCAGGCGTCGGAAAGTCTGCCGTTGCGTTCACTGTAGCTGAGAGGATGAGAGGTCTAAAAGTGACAGAGCAGACTAACGTCGAAAAGCGGCTCGGAGGAACCTTCTTTTTCTCGCGCAAGCACACGAAACGTTGCACGGCTGGGTATTTTTTCGTGACGCTTGTCTATCAGCTTGCCACCAATTTTCCCAGCATCAGGAAGGATGTGAATAGAGCTATCCGTGACAATCCCGCTCTACTAGACCCAGACAAGTCTCTCTACGACCAGATGGAGGCTCTCTTTCTCCAACCGCTCCGGAAACTTCAACTCAGATTGCGCGGGTGTCCACCTCTAACGTTTGTTGTCGATGCCCTTGATGAATGTACATCCGAACCCGAGCTTACCGATCTCATCCTTTCCCTTGCACGAGCTCTTCGTGAGCCTAATCTACCCGTGACACACATTCTGCTCACAAGTCGCTCGGAAACCCACATCTCTGAAGCCTTTCAGAACGAAGAGGTGCGGCCGTTGTTGTGCGAAATCCCAGTGAAAACTTCTGGGGAGGGCATTGCTACCATTATCTCGCTCGACGGCGCCGATGTCGACACAGATATCTATGTTTTCTTACAGCATTCCTTCGCAAAGCTGACAAGTCGCCATCCCGATTTCCCTCAGCCATCAAAGGATGATCTTGTGAAGCTGGCGAGCCGAGCGGGTAGACGTTTCATCGTGGCGACTACAATGATGAACTTCATTATTGACAGTGAAGACGATGATCCTCGCGATCGGTTACGGCTGATGCTGAAGCTAACGAGCGAGCTGCTACCAGGAACGGAGGTGTATAAGTTATACGATTGTATCCTCTCCACGTGTGCCGACCCCAAGCGGGCTTACATGCACTTGTCCATCGTCGCCGCGCTCGCAGACCCTCTTCCCATCTCGCAGATCTCGTCACTTCTTGGCCCTGGTTTGGGCAGGGATGTGCAGACAACGCTGATACAGCTACGGTCTGTCATGGATATCCCTACAGACAGCATTCACCCCGTGAATATCTATCACTCATCCGTTCGCGACTACGTTTCCGACCCCTCCAACTGCGGCCTCCCTCAAGTATGCGATATCACATCACCCCACTCCCTACTCGCACATTCGTCTCTCCGCTTGATGACGGAGATTACGGAAAGCACGGCTCTCTTGGATGCGCTCTCAGAACTGGAGAAACAGAGCCAAGCTATGCAACCTGAGGACCCCCATCGATTAAAATTTTCGCTATCCTTCCTTGTTCGACCACCGGAGCCACTGGCAGTTCTCATCTGTATTCTGTGGCTTCGGGGAGATCGTACTTCAGATTTACAATATTGGCTGGGAACCGTGGATGGACGTGCCTGGGTGCAAACCACGAATGGGCAAGACTGGCTGCAGACCGAGGGAGGACGAGGCTGGCTGCAGACTTGGAGAGGACGAGAATGGTTGCAGACCAAGGGAGGACGAGAGTGGCTGCAGACCTGGAGAGGACGAGAATGGCTGCAGACCGAGGGAGGACGAGAGTGGCTGCAGACCGAGGGGGGACGAGAGTGGCTGCAGACCGAGGAAGGACGAGAGTGGCTGCGGATCCAGGGAGGAGATTGGCTGGAGTCCGAGGGAGGACAACACTGGCTGCAGACCGAGAGGGGAAGAGAGTGGCTGCAGATCCAGGGAGAAGAGTGGCTGCAGTCCGAGGGAGGACGAGAGTGGTTACAGACCGAGCGTGGACGAGCGTGGCTGCAGACCGAAGGAGCACGAGAGTGGCTGCAGACTCAGATAAGACGAGTGTGGCTGCAGACCCAGGGAGGGCGAGAGTGGCTGCAGACCCAGGAAGCACAAGAGTGGCTGCAAACCGAGGGGGGACGAGACTGGCTCCTGACCCAGGAAGTGTACGATTGGCTCCTGACCCAGGGAGGACGTGACTGGCTGCACACCCAGGGAGGGCGAGACTGGCTGCACACCGAGGGAGGACGAAAGTGGCTGCAGGTCGAGGAAGGACGAGAGTGGCTGCAGAAATGGGGAAAAGTGTTGCTGGAGCCCGAGGGAGGACGACACTGGCTGGAGTCCACGGGAGGGCGAGAGTGGCTGCAGACCTTGAGAGGAGAAGTGTGGCTGGAGTCCAAGGGAGGGCAAGAGTGGCTGCAGACCGAGGGAGGACGAGAGTGGTTGCAGACCGAGGGAGGGCAAGAGTGGTTGCAGACCGAGGGAGGGCAAGAGTGGCTGGAGTCCGAGGAAGGACGAGAGTGGCTGGAGTCTGAGCCAGGACGAGAGTGGCTGGAGTCCGAGGAAGGACGAGAGTGGCTGGAGTCTGAGCCAGGACGAGAGTGGCTGGAGTCCGAGGAAGGACGAGAGTGGCTGGAGTCTGAGCCAGGACGACAGTGGCTGGAAACCGAAGGAGGACGAGATTGGCTGCAGACCGAAGGAGGACGAGAGTGGCTGCAGACCCAGGTGGGACAAGGGTGGCTGAAGTCCGAGGGAGGGCGAGACTGGCTGCAGACTGAGGGAGGACGAGAGTGGCTGCAGACCCAGGGAGGACGAGAGTGGCTGCAGACCCAGGGAGGACGAGACTGGCTGCAGACACAGGGGGGACGAGACTGGCTGCAAACCCAGGGGGGACGAGACTGGCTCCTGACCCAGGAAGGGCACGACTGGCTCCAGACGCCCCATGGCCAAGCGTGGCAATCCACTCCTGCAGGGTCCGTATGGGTGACTACGGATGAATTCTCCAGTACGTTGGAAGCAATCAGCAACTATATCATTGTCCCAGAATCAGCTTTACTGCCAACCTTCAAAGTAGTCCAGCAGCTCAAAAGCTTACCGGATTTCTTAATGTTTCCGGTGTTCCTGGCGTTGATACCCCAAGATCATTTCACCTCTGCATCGCCAGAAGTTCCTGACAGGGAAATCATCCGTGCTATGAATCTCTTTATAGCTTTCGCAAACAAAGCACAGGAACGAAGTCGATCATCTTCCGATGCTCTCAAGTATGCATCTCAAAACTGGGTTGTTCACCTCTCGCGTGCTCCAAATCCATGGAACGACACTCTCAACCATATATTCCAGGCTTTCTGGAATCGTCACCTCCTTTCCTGGCTCGAACGGCAGTGGTGTTTGAAGGGACTGCGGTCTTGTCTTGATATTTTATCCGCAGGGCAAAAACTTGCAAAAGTTATTGCATTGCTTCAGGTTTGACTTTTTTTTTCATTTTGTGAAACCTCTTTTGATTCTCTTTCATCCTCAGTTTGAACCTTTAACGCACAGCCTCATGAACGGTTGTCAGCCATCGGTCCCAATTCCCGGCACTCAACAACAGAAGCTTCGGCCACCCTTCCCCTCTCCGGGGCCCAACACCGCTGTACTCCATGTTGGCACATCCAGAAAGCGCACTTTGGATGAGTTTCTGATCAATAACAACAGTGCACTCGAACCGGACACCTCTAATAGCCCGTCAAAACGTCAGAAATGAATCAAACAGTGTTTGCTACGCAAGACTGGCAGGAGCACCGGTAGGACGCCGGATAATATTTAGCTCACCGCTTGTTATTGAAGATGTTGTCTCTAAGCATCCAGCGTCATGATGTACTTAGTTTGTGACTATTTAATCAAGTATCTTCGCGTTTACTTTTTGTTGCGTTCTGTATCGATCCACATTACTAGGTTCTAGTTTTATACCAGCAGAACAACCTGTGCACACTTATTGCAAACTCTCTTTTACACGCCAATACGATTTGCCTTGTAATCAAAACCTTGTAACGTATAGTATTGCACAACCTACCAATAAGCACCGCATCGCTGTTCCAAAGACGATTGCTCTTCTGCAGCGCGTTTTTCGCGTTTTTCACCAAAGCCCTTTGTCAACACGTTCTCGATGCTTGCCTCTTCAAGAGTAATGTTGACTTTGTCACTGTCGGGCTGGTCGTCACATTGCCCCTCATCAATGCATCTTCCACTCTACTCATTTTATTCGCTGTGTGCAACGATACTCCAAGCTTTACCGCCCTTTCCTGCATATGATGTGTGTCCCACTCTGTGCACGTAGGTAGCCGCGCCGCATTCAATCGGCAGGTCGTACTTGAGTGCACGAACCAGAGGTAGGTCGAGACCACGGCATGCCACAGACGTACAAATGAAAATAGAGGACGGCGGAGCAGGTTTCTTGGATTCTGAGGAAAGAAAAACGGAGAACCCGCATAGAGAGACAAGACGGTTTGGTGCAGGAAGGGAACCGCAGTGAAGACGGAAGATTGAGGCGCCTGGAAGGAGCGAAGACTGCGCAGCGATGATATTTTCGTCTTGCACTGTCTCCTCTTCAGCAGATCCATCGGTCTTGTCATCTTCGCCGTCACTCTTGTCTCTGTCAGACTCAGTACGCTCAGCATATCCACCGTCCATCGTTGGATCGCCTAGCAAGTGCCAGTGAAAATCAACAGACTCCGTGCAGCTGAGGAATACGATGATTTTTCAAGCCTTTTTGTCCTTGCGTTTGCGCGAGCAAAGAGCGAAAAGGTGCAACTAGTGCGACAAGACTGATAGTAGCTGGTGTCAATATTTAATGCAGGCGATCCACCGCCTTCTCTTTGTCGAGGCCCTTGATTAACAGCGACCATATTGGAATGGTGCCTGCCAGTTTCTGTACAGTCATGGATAGTAACTGACCTAGCGACTGTCCGTCCTGATCCCACCCTCCGACCCTGAACAGCTTGGAACGCGAACTTCCTCCTCCCTGCCAGCTTCGTCAAGAAGGATCATCACGGGTACAGGTAGGTGACGGGTATGGGTGCGGGTCACGGCGGGTACATACCTGTGAAGGGTATACCCATGAACATGCAAGCATCAACACCGCCAGCACCATCCAGACCACCATCTACTCCCCCACGCGATTCCAACAACCGCCAGTGCTTAGCGCATATGCCCAGCGCACGTCAGCGAATGCTGACGTGGCTTGAACATATGCGAACGACACCCGAAGGTACCAGAATGAGAGAAGGAGTGGAAGAAGGCAAGAAATAGACGAGGAAGAAAGGTTCAGAATGATGAAAGGAGATGGATGAGAAGAGAACGAAGGAGTGGAAGGTAGGCAACTGCACGGGTAAACCTCCGGTTATCAAAGGCCATACCCGCACCCGTACCCGTGGGCACTGTATGTAAAACAGTCAGAAATAAAATTCGGGTTAGAGGTCGCAGACTTGCCCGTCGATTAGAATACGTCCTGAGCTGGGTTGGAGGTCGTGGAAACGGTAGAGGCACAGGATGGTACTTTTTCCTGATCCGCTTTCGCCGACGAGGGCAACGCATCCGCCGCGGGGGACTTTGAAGGAGATGTTGTGCAGTGCAGAAGTTTGGTAGTCGTGGGAGAAGGATACGTTGTCTGTGATGTGTTAAGATGAATGAGTATGGGGATGGAGTGAGGACACTAGCTCTGCACCACACAAAAGAGATAAAAAAACCCACCTGCGCATAATAGGTGATAAACACCTCGGAATCGCTAGCATCACTCTGTCCCCTCGTGATGTACGACGCGACGATCAAGGAACTAATCAGAAGACCGGAGGTGATGGTGAACGTTTGTACGAGGTTCAGGAGGTTGAGACATACTATAGGTATGATCAGCATTTGCATTCGCGAGCGAAATGAAACACAGGTTTGTTTTGAGAATGAGAAATAATTTTGAATCAAGACGTGGTTTTTGAAATAAGATGACACGAAAACACTCACGAACGGCCCTCTTCTCCAAACTCTGATACTCCCCAATAGCCTTCGTACACCTCTGCGCATCATACTCCTCCCCACTGAAATATTTGACAGTCTCATAATTAAGGAGACAATCCGCCCGCGAGTGACCTGAGCATGCGTGCAAATAAGACCCACGTCATAATCATGGACAAAACGAAGCAGCATTAAACACTGACCACATCCTGCTCATCCATCCGCCTTTAACTAGGAAGTGATTAGTCTTGTAAATAATGTACACACATATATAGATTTTAAAAAACATACCTTTGGAGCGCAGCATTGAGATTATGCTCGACGCGCGGATAGGGAATGGTGCCAGAGGATGCGGTTGGTGGTGGTTAGGTATGATGTTATAGGTGCACATTTATTATTGCGCGTTGCGCGGCCTGCGCGGTGCCCGCTTTGGTGACCCGTTTGTTGTTGCCCGTTTGGTACCTGTTGTGATGTCTGCGCGCTGCCCTTTGCATAGTCTGCGCGCTGCCCTTTGCATAGTCTGCGCGCTGCCCGTTCAATTGGTGACTCGGGCTCTAGCCATGTCTTTCCTTTTTTTTTGCCAGTATTTTTTGCAGGGCTGCATTATCTTCTACATGTGTCCCCTACTACCTGGCACGTCAAACAGTCAACATCAAAGCAAAGAAGGGGATGCTATTGTCCTTGTCCTATGTAGTAGATGTAATGACAGTGCAAAATCATTAGTCGTTGAACGTTGATGCCTGATTCATTCAGCTCGAAGAGTATTGTAAGGATCATGCTGCAGTAGTGAAGTATAGTGCAAGATAAGCAAAAAAATGCAATTAAACACGTAGACAAGATACTGAAACGTCAAAGGATCAAACGAGGTAATGGACAGGCCTGATAGCATATTCGGATTCCCACGGATTGACCATCACTGGTGCAAAAGGGTCGTCGGGTTGAGGCTGGCTGCGCCACAAAATATCATCCTCACTCACAGAGACAATTGCAACTGGATATGATAATTCAGGGAAAGTAGGGCGTGGAGCTGGTACACCTGGAACGCTCAGCTGACTGAGTGAAAGAGGAGACTCAAAAGGCAGGTAACATTGTCATGCATGGTATGGAACTCATACCATGACATTGATAGACAGGAAGTAGCTACAGAGAGTACACTAAGGTGTACCTCATTGTATTATTATGATTGGTTCCATTTTGACAGATTTACTTGTATTTATATTTCCAGTATGATAGTTTTCACCTTTCCCCTTTTCTTTTCATTTCTTTTATGTGGTTTATTCAGCCACCAGTGAGCCACCAAGATGTGTTAGTAAGCATGTCATGTGATAGGCAATATTCTGCTTTGTAAGGATCCTGCATGATATGTCATGTGGCTTCCATTTGTTTCCATTTGTTTCTATTTGTTTCAGGCTCATTCAGCCACAGAATCCTTCAGTGAGCCACCAGATATGTTTGTAAGCATGTCATGTAATAGGCAATAATCTGATTTGTAAGGATTTGTCATGATTGGTCATGCTTTGTCATGATTTATCATGCTTTGTAATATTATGAATTTTATTTGTAAACTACTTTGTAAGCAGCTGATTCAGCACTGCCAAATGGCATGGTTAGTAAGCCAGTGACTTACTAATGCTGTGATGAGTCATGCTTAGTAAAATGGCTTCCCAAAAAGGTATAAAAGGAGCCCATTCTACACTGAGTAATAATAACTTCCCACTTTTCACTCTTCTCTCAAACCGTGAGAGTCCGTAAGACTTAAAGTGCAGGCCAAGAGTGCCTTGAAGTAAGATAAACATCATATCAGAGATTAGTTGTATACTACCTTACAGGGGTCGCTTATATAACAATCTATTTATAAACTACTTGTTGTGTGCTACCTTTCAGGGGTTGAGTATACAACACCAGAACAGCTTTCGTACTAGGCTTTACGTATTTAAGACAGACTTCATTACTTGTTGTATACTACCTTACAGGGGTTGAGTATATAACACCAGAACAGCTTTCTAACTAGGCTTCATGTATTTTAAGACAGACACTCTCTTTTTCAGGAAGGGAGACACGAGAACACGACAAAGTTGAGACAGACTTTCATAGGTTGAGACACGACCTACGAGATTGAAACAGATCTTACTATCAGAACATTAGGGAATCTACGAGTATTCCACCAGGGAACAACAAGAAGAGGACACATCAGTAAACCCTCCCAAGAACTCACATGTTATCTACCATGAAAACTAGAAAAGTCGTAGACCGTGTACTTAAGGACTGGCAAGAAGTCTTATCCTGTATAGTTGTGTTGTCACTATACATGCGTTGTACATAAGACCCTTAAGTAGTAAGACAACGTGGGATGGCGGAAGCCGTTTCTAATGAACAAAAAATGTGAGTCCAGATTTATGTTATAAAAGGCAACAGTAACAACTTACTGCTCTTGAGTCTTTTCACTGCTACTCTCTGATTTGTCGGCAATTCATCAGGGGAGAGTGCTGTGTGAGTCCGTTTGGCTAGATACACAATTGTCAGCTTTTTTGTCCGAGTCAACTGGAACAGAATGCAGACCTACCATTGACCATTGGTGTCTTCAAGATCCTCAGCTTACCTTTTCCTTTGTAGTCGGTGTGAATGTCTCCAGAGTCGCTTAAATCCATCTCCATCAAGGAGCTAGCAAGTTCAGGGTTATGGTCGGCATCTTCTCTGATGCTGTCTATGTCAGAGAAAAGCTCTGAACTGTCACCATCGCCTTCGGAATCTGAACCGGCTATAATGGGCTGGGTGTTCCAGGATTCGTACACAGTGTCTGGAATACGGTTCCTGGTGACTAACACGAGTTATTAGCACAGCGATCAGGTGTATATAGTGGTGATCGCACCAAACCAAAGGTGAGATTCTGTTATGCTTGCTTTGTCCCGGCCCTTGTGCTTGGCTAAGTCTGTTCCAGTCGGACATGCAATGTCGGACAGTCAAGACTTGCCCACTCTTGTTCAAAAGTCTCCAAATCAGCTTCTCATCCTGGCCTGCTGACAACGACACATTCCTGGACCTATCTGTGTCCAGATAATTGAAGACCTTTGGAAATAGCTTGCATAGTAGTTGAGTGATTCTGGAGTAAGACCAATCATGATGGAATGTCGCTTGTTCATCCACATAACATCCGCAATTCTTCATGGCCTGGATCTCATTCAAACCATTCTTGGATGGAGCTTTTGACACTCTGATGACGCCATGTCTCTGAAGGGATTAAGAATATCAGCGATCTTTTTGAGCAATGTTAGTGAAGGTTCGCGACTGACATCAACGCCGCAAATGATCATGCCAACTGATGAAACACGGAAAGTAGATGTTGCGGATGCGGTGTTCTGTTTTGCCTGGCTCCCGGTAGGTTGCGAACTAGCAGTAGTATCCCTCCGAGTCTAGAGCAAATCATGAATATGTAGATAACATTTGTTAGTATATTAACAGTACATTACCTTTTGCAAGCCAGTTGATGGCCCTGGACCCTTTGAAAGCTTACTGTAATTTGCAAGACAAGTAGAAGCAAGCATTGACAACGCCTCCTCTCTGGCAGCTTTAGTTGAGAGAATCGAGCCTCCTCGCTTGGCAGTTACACGGTTAAAGATCTCTTTCACTGCAGCAGTACTGGAGGAACTTGGGCAAACCTCTTCATCCTGGGGTGTTTCGGAACGTTCAGTGTCTACTGTCCTCCAAGTCCGAGGATGTTTACTGCGTCCATGTCCACACTCGGCACAGTGTCCTTCATCCCCATGTCGAGCATAGAAGTCTTCACAGTCGCAGAGTTGACCATCAGGAATAGTCACTCTGCAGAAGTTTTCCCGGTTCATACTGTTGGTTGATTGTGGGACAGGTCAAGCAAGTCGCATCAGGGAAGCTTAAGGTATAGGAACGACTTCAAGACATGAAAATTAAGTTACAATTTAAATTTATTCAACAAGCGCATGTTCCGACTAATCCCTATCAGCTAAAAACGTAGTCAAAACTAGCAAGGCTTGACACCATAGTTTCGCTCAATGAAACCAAATTGGCTCTGCAAGGGAGACTTGAAGCTCTTTCACACCTCATCAACCAGCACGTATCGTCTCAAAGGCAGGATACTGGTCACCTTCCCATTCATCTGGTGTCAGTTGGCAATACGCTGGTGTGATTTTCTTTGCGACAACTTCAGCAAGAACTGTAAAAAATTGTTCTCGTGTTTCTTTGTCAGTACCAAAAGCGCTCCTGTGTGAAGGAACTCTGACAGCGTCATGATGGATGTGCTGCCGTTGCTGATCATTGATCGACTCAATAATGTCGGGCGACTGTTCATCCGCATCATCTTCCTCGTCAGCAGGATGCCCTGCTCCAGTTTGATGTGGTCGTCAGGATGCAGGGCGACCATGAATGCCGTAGTACTCCTCAATCACATCAGGGTGAACACCCTCACAATCGTCACGATATACACCAAATAGTGTTTGTCCCAGGAACCGTAAGTCCTGGATAAAATTGAGGTCTTCAGCAAGTTGAAACGCAATCACAAGCTTACCTTTGGACTCTTGTCATTAGTGTCAGGTCCCCATATTGGATGGCAATTCCACTCTTCCCGAAAGTCAGAGCAATCCTGATTGATATCGTCAAGGAAAAGTGCGTGAAGCAACCAAAGATGATTGGCATTCTGAGGGTTGAGCATGTGCCAATTTTCGAGCCGAGTAAAAACGCCCTCCATCGCCTAGCAAACTGAGTGCCGACTTCAACCCACAGCCGCTCAATTCGAGAGTTTCATGTAGAGCTTATGTATGGAGTCAGCAACTAAAACAATTCAAGCAAGAAAAACTCACGATCCCCACATAAATGAAGCGCGGCGCGGTCCATTTCTCATTATCATGTAAGTGGTGACGTCGAGGTTTTCTCCACCGCGATCGCCTCGCACACGAGAAGGAGTACCATACTCTCTGATTGCGAGTTTGAACAAGTCCAAAACGGTAGCTGAACAGTTGTTATTACTGGCGTTCAGTGCCGTTATCTGATAGAAAAAGAGGTTGCATTAATGAACTGCTTGTTTTATAAACACACGAAACATATACTTACCGTCCTGCAAAAGCCATCAATGAATCTGTGAACTACGATCCCCCATCTAATTAACTTATGGTGGCCATCCATGTGCCAGAGTGCGTTGGGCTGCTTGACATAGTATTTTCGCCGTCTTTTGACCCGTCGATCTCGCAGGACCTGACTCAACCGGTCTACTCGACGAAGTGAATGTACCACTCGATGATGCTGCACGTGGATGCCATGCCTGTGGAGAAAGCCAATAATATAGTGTATACCGGAGTCCGGGTGCTTTTTCTTGAACTCCTGGATAAGAGCATCAAGATCAGTGTTTGTGAGTTCAGAGTACTTCCTTTGGATACCATGGCGTTTAATATAGAGCCGCAAAGTATTTCTATGAACTCCTAATATATCTGCCAGTTCCCTAAGCTTGATTTATCGAGAGTTGGACAATGGGTCGGCAAGGAATTCGAGGTCTATGATCTTCTTTGGGTGACCTGGGCGGCTCGTTCGCAACAAGGTCACTGGTTCAGGAAATATAATATCACTATCCACCCTGTCAATGCAGTCAGCGATGTCTTAATGTAATGGTAAGAATAAAAGGAATCACCAAGTCTCAATATTATGTCAAAATGATGATAATTGGACAGACAAACTCCCCAGTAAAGTAGCAGCGTCAGATAGCCAATCCCGCACTTCCAATCCTCGAGGATCAACTTCAAATGCTTCGAGTAATGGTATGGCATCAGCCGTTATGGCCTCTAAATGAAATGTGAGCTGAAGAGAGTCTGCATCCTCTTGGTTCAGAATGCGATAAGCGTGTCTGTAAATGTCTGACAATGTATCATGGGCAACAAGGAAGTTAGCTGGCCATGGAGTATGGGCCATTGTGCAAGGTGGAAAGTGAGGAAGCATCTGTGGTAGCATACTAGGCATCACAATAACTTCGACGAGTTCAAGCAGCAGGATGCTCACACTCACCAAACACTCACATACACACATGATGTAGATCTGAACACCTACAGTCAGTCATTCACATATATCTACATACTGTAAGAAACAGCACCAAGAGGATTCGTTAATTTTATAGTAGTAGTGTCAAAACCCGTGCATATGGCAGGGTTGAAATGGAATGCGCTGCGCGCTGAATATGGGCATGTGGTATAGTAGCAGCATCGAAACCCATGCCATATGGCAGGGTTGAAATGGAATGTGCCGGGCGCTGAATATGGGCATGTGGTATAGTAGCAGCGTCAAAACCCATGCCATATGGCAGGGTTGAAATGGAATGCGCCGCACGCTGAACATATGGGCGTATGGTATAGTGCATGGGAAAGCGTAATCCAACATTCGTGCCAGTGAGGCCAACAGGGAGAGGATACAGAGAGACAGTCAGCATAAGATAGACAGAATGAAAGCAATAACAAACCTGTCAAGAATTCCTGCTCAATGATGACAGCCTGGGTAATGATATAGTGAGTTGTACTTGTTATTGAGTGGGGCAGGCAGGCCTTCCTAATTAGGCAATAGGGCGCTGGTGCGAGTGCTTCGCTTTTGCACCTTTGTTTGGTGTTGTTTGGATTATGCGAACTGCTTGTCTCAAACTTCCAATTTAGGCAACCCAAAAATTTCTGGCATCCAGAACAAAGGCTAGCTGTTTATAAGTGTCGATGAGAAGTGAGTAGGTGTCGATGAGAAGTGAGTGAGTGTCGGAGTGAATGTTCTCTATGATTTGGAAGCTGTAGAATCCAAAGGTTAAATGAATGTTCTCCATCATGATTTGGAAGCAGTAGAAGAGTAAGTCCATCAATCCGCAACTCATGTGATGTGCTATGCCGTGTTGTGTTGAACATTTTTTGAACTTAATTTCCATCAAACATCGAAGTGTAGAAACTATGCCAGGCGCTCCCACTCCTACCATGCCAACTTGACATCCTGTCTATTATTTTTCTAATGCAAGCCATGTCATTCAGGTAAGGTTTTTCGATTGATGTATCAAGTCACTTACGCAGTTTGAGTGCCCTCACATCAACAGATCGATAATGTGCTATATAGGCTCTGCGGCTCAGTCTTGTCCTCAAATTCTGAAACATTCAATGACATGTTTTCTGCTACTGAAACTGCTGGATTGGAAGAGATGGATGGGAAAAGTGATGAGAGGCCCATCCGTCTCAATGGTACAACACGGGAGATGTTTGAATTGTTCCTTGAACATACCTTTGGCAGGTAAGTCGTTGTTCTATAGACCTTTCATCAAGCTGCTAAACCAGTTGTAGAGCACGCACCGGCCAATACACCATTGAAGAACTGTCAAATTTTCTGCATTTCTGCGACATGTATCAATGTTCTCATACTCAAAAATTCGTTGTTTCTCGCATTCAGTCTACCTGCTATCATTTCCACCCCGCTCAGCTCATTAACCTTGCCATACAGTATAACACAAGCGCAATCTTCCCATTCGCCTTCAAGCGACTTGCATCAGTAAATCACTAAACCTTCACAGACTTTGGCTTTCACACAGATTCTCGCAGTGTGACAGACATCACAGAATCCCAGGATCCCAGAGCCACAGACTTACAGATTCTCACAGTGTGCTACAGACTCACAGAATCCACAGAATAAATGACAAAATTTTCACTAAGTCTTTTCTTTAGTTAAACATCAACACTAAGCCTTATTGTAAACTAAAGCTTATTAAAATTCATTGTTAGGACAAAAAGTGCTAAACCTATTGACTAATTAAAACTTGTTGGAATTCACAAATTTCACACTTTGTACTAGTAAACCTCCAACTTGAAGTTTTCTAGTCAAAAATAAGGATTAGTTTTTTTGAAGATTTCAATAAGGGCAAGTTATGTTGAGGTTTGACTATAGATTTCAATAAGAGCAAGTTATAATGGGGTTTGACTATAGATTTCAACTTGACAATGTTATGAGGCTTGAGAATCATTGGTATATATATTATTGTGAGAGAGAGGAAAAGTAAAGACACTATGGTGTAATGGTAAGTTTGTGTTATTTTTGTTGCTGAACTTTGTGAAGCCTCAAGTTCAATTCTTGCCAATGACACTTGAAAATGTCAAAAATGCGAATTTATTTTGTTCTATTTACTAGGCAATGCTTTGTCACTGTGAGTTCTGTGGCTCTGCTGGGAGGTTCTGTACAGAGCTGCACAGAAAAGATGTAGCTGGACAGAAGGGACCAAGCTGTGGCACTGTGACACTGTACAGCTCTGTACAGCTCTACACAGAACATTGTAATTTACTGATGTGTCGACACTCCCATTACCCAATTGACTGCACAACACCGAGAACTATTAGGCAACGACATGTTTACGACCTTGGTCTATGTGCAAGCGGCTCTCGAAGAACATCGTCGTATTGTGGCTGCAGAAGAGCCCAAAATTTTGATGCACACCAGCAACTGCCAAGATCCAGTAGGCTGTAATGAGGACTGGCATGCTATCTGGTGGAATGGCATGGCTCGTTTCCTTCTCGATGGACGAAACCCACAACCATATCGTGAAGCTGTCAAATGCTTTAAAGATTTGCAGTTCGGGCGTGTTAGTGGAGGGTGCAAGGAGCTTATGTTCAAGATTATTGGGGAGGGAGCAGCATTCAATCACGCTGATCAATTCGTCGATGAAGCTTGTAACTGCCTTGCAGATAAATTGATTTTCGAACCTTCACTAGAAGCATAGAATACATTGTTTTGATGTCCTTACTCGTCTTGTTGTATTCCAATGAGCTCTATTTTTAGTAGTAAGATGCAGCCCTGCAAAAAATACTGGCAAAAAAATGGAAAGACATGGCTAGAGCCCGAGTCACCAATTGAACGGGCAGCGCGCAGACTATACAAAGGGCAGCGCGCAGACATCACAACAGGTACCAAACGGGCAACAACAAACGGGTCACCAAAGCGGGCACCGCGCAGGCCGCGCAACGCGCAATAATAAATGTGCACCTATAACATCATAGTTAGGTGCTGAAGCGCTGCCAAAGCTTACATAAGAAGCGTCCGTAGTACTTTGCACAACTGAGCGATATGTGGAAGGCACGAGTATGCCAGGGGTACGGGGGGTCTCAGAACTGCGACCCACGCAAAACTAATTTGGGCTGAGTTTCGGCCAAGTGCCGGCACAACTGGCACTTGGCGCATTGGCAAAACTTGGCAAACCTGTGCAGTTGCCTATTCTTAGTGGATCAAGTAAGTAGATCTCTTTACATATGAACCATTAACACGACGTCTGCTAAGTGACAATCAAGTTGCACTCTCAAAAATTCATTCAAGTACAAAAATGTCTCTCTGACGGAGAATCGAACTCCGTTTTCCCGCGGGCTGCTTGCTGACAGGCGGGTGTACTGACCGATATACTATCAGAGATGAAATTTGTGAACCCTAGCGACATAAATAGCTCAACGTATTTGTGCCTGTTTACCAGCACCTTCAATTTCTAGCAAGGACAAACAACTCGTCATCCTACCGCTCGGCAGCATGAATATTCCACTAGATGCCGCATGTGCCACGGGGCTTTGCTATCTTTTGGCCCCAGCGGGCTGGCAGCCAGTCACAACAATCGTGCTCATACTTCTGTTCACTAGCCGTAACACTGTGCAGCCTTTCCTGGCAGCTCCAAGTGTTTTGCCCAGATGTGTAGCGCTATCACTTGAGAAGGCCATCGAGCTCTCTATTTTGGAGTATATTGCATGGCTTATCAGCTGCTCAGTTATCCTGTATTCAACTCACTTACTTTGGGAGAAACTCATCATGGTTGTCCCCGTCCTCGCCTTTTCTGGATGCATCATCTCGCGATGGGTAATTCCCCGCCATCGTTGGTCACAAAGCGAGATTCATGTGCCGGCGCGAGATGTATTTGTCAGATTTGGTGACAACCACCCAGATTTACTGTCTTTGGACCACCCGTTATCTAAACTCGTCGTGAATACAAAAAATGAGCTCGCAAAAGCCCATTCCCTCCTTCGCTCTTTTGCTGCTGCCTCTGTGGATATACACGGGCCTCTCGATATTACCTGGGCTGTCCAAAAATACTCCCGCCTCATCAGCAATCGACAGTCACAAATCATTCGGTTCGTGTCTCCTCTGCGATTCAATCCGGCTAGTCCAATCTTCCCCCCTCCTCTTGGCCCGCGCTATGCAATGCTTCATAATGAAGCAGACGTTCTTGAAATCCCATGGCTATCGTCGCACATTCCTAGTGCAATATGGATTGATAGACGATTAGCAAACATGTGGGAAGATGAAAGACGAACTGAACTTCCACCACCCCCGGGGTATAATGGGTATGCCCTCTTTTTGATTTAGGCTGTACAATAAACTTAATGGTGATTCTAAGTCAATGTGATCTTTTCCTCAAAGCCACCATTTGTCATGAGATGTTGAAAGAAATCCTTTTGAACGTCGAGAAGACCGGACACCTTCCAAATGTTGATTAAACTTGTACTGATATCACGGAGGAATATGGATCATGCCCATTGAATATCCCATCATCTATATGGTTGGCGATAGCGATCAGTTGTAGGTATTTGGAGCCCGATAAGATACTGAACTCTCTATACTTCTATATATTTCCCTTGCTTTTCGGATATCATCCTCCGGTGGTGGTTGTTCTACTGGGAGCTCTGCTATAATATTTCTCAGCACCAAAATCATGTCATCATGCGTGACAGGATTTTCCGGGAAAGTGACAGACTTGCTACCATTGGATTTAATTTTCATGGAGCCTGGAGGCGATAGCTTTGAGGCGAGATGTGCAAGACCTGTCACAATAGGCGGATGATTGAAGTAATTTGAAAAGCACGCTCTGCAGGTGAAAGTCCAGTCCTTCACCTGGAATCTCTCCTGAGATATGTCTAGCCGATACGAAGGCATTAGATCTGGCTGCAACCACTTGGGTACCCGGCTGGGTAGTCTCGTGCGTCTTTGGCTATAAGGTCCGATAAAATTGATGCAAATGAAAAGCATGACCCAGAGGAATGATTCCAGATCGTGTCTTCGTCGTGGCGAACAATTCTTGTGCCACAATACTTCTGTTGCTAAGTATTCCTACAAAACCTCTAGTCGCTGAAATAATACAGGTCCTCAGAAGCCTCACCGAGAGTCTGTGAAGACTGATCATCTGGTTTCCAGGATTGTCCATGTGTTTTGCGAATCTCCACCCACGGAGCATCGCTTGCCGTATGGGAGGTGTTCCATCGGAATTCCAAAATGGTATGACATTCTCGTCACTTGGATCATTCACGTTCAGACAGATGGAGTGCGGATTGATGTCATTGTGAAGCAGCTTGTGCGAGAAATACGCAGTACGGTGGGCTATTGTGCACATTTAACATCGTGTCGGACTGTACAATACGTCATTACTCACTTTCTATGCATGATATTATCGCCGAGAAAAACTCCTTGCGGGATGAAAAGTAGGTGATGTCGATGAGATGCTCTACGGTTTGGACGACGCTCTCAACCATCAGATGCCGTGGACCAAAAAGTCTCTTCTCGTGGGTGATCGTACAGTCAACCGTCATAGATCGATGTCCCCCCATTTTTGGTACCCCCTCGAGATTTTTCAGTTCATCCAAAAACTGTGCATGGTCCTGAGGAGCGGCACCGCAATCTGAGATAAATTTCCATTGGAAGGGGCAATTACAAGGGAACAACGATCCGTCGAAGGACCCGAAGACCGGTGGTCTTGTTAGTCTGACGCGCGTGTGGTGACCTGCGCTCTGCCGCAAATGGGTAGCTTTCTGATAATAAGTCGTCTTGATGGATCGGGAGGATACATTGTCTGGTTGAATCGGAGCAGACTCAACGCTGTGATAACACCCTAGATGATAGCTATCAGACGTAGCCAATGTGTCGATGCAGCCAAGGACTGCCCATGGATGGCGATGGATGTGAAATGGGGTGGTCATAAAACCGTATCGATCATACTTGACTAGGTGCACAGTGTTTGATTTCTGGATCGATAGACCAAACAGAAAAGGGCGATCATATCGGGAGAGAGAGGTACTGGCGGTCGATGGAAGAGCACTTTGATCATGTGGGGCGTCATGATCAGATATAAGCTCTGCGATTGCGTGCACCTCATCCATGGCCGATACACCATGAGAGTCATGATTCACGAGAAGTAATACCTGATGCTCGGAGATTTTCACTGATGATTCAGTCGGATGCATGACCCAAATGCGGCGCTTTGGGAGCTTCGTCTCGGAAGCTGGCATTGTGGAAAGTGCTGCATATGACCGTTCTGTCAGGCAGTTCAGGAATAGTAGAGCATCGGAATAGTGGCTGCGATCCGTCCATCGACGCTGATCTCGGTCGTAAAGACCGTCTTCACATATCCTTTCGAACATCACATCAATGTTGGGTTGGCTGATCGCGCTGGATCTGTTCAGAAACTTGGTACAGAGGTGTGTAAGGGTGCCATCCGTTTCATTGTGTGGCGTCCCGAACTCTTTGAGGTAAATAGGGGGGCTGTTCCCATTTGTCGCTGAGCATGGTGAAACCTAGTTTTGTGTTGAGTTCCACGGCAAATAAAATTTTCCTGATCTCACGGGTAATTGACATTTCGCGTCCATAATCGACGAAAAAGGCAGAAGCGGCTTTAGCCTGTATAACTGTCACGATCGATGGATAATGTTTGTCAAAGGACACTCAGAAGCCTCGCGAGTGTCTACACTGTTGCACAAATTTGAAAGGAAATACAGGGGTGGCAGCCACATGCAGCGACCAAAATGAAATTGCTAAATGGAGACAATATGGGGCCGAAGATTGATCAACGCCTGGCACTTTTGAGCGAGTCATAAGTTATAACAATCATTCCGGGCTCTACAGAGACAACTATTAATGATTACCACGAGCATCCCTGTTTACTTCCTGCAATAAATCTCTGGTCATACCGCTTCACGCTTCCGAGGCGTAGCACGTAGAATATCATCCACCCTGTTCACATCCAAGGTCAAAAGAGGGCCTCATTATCCGAAAGGTGCGCTGCATACCGTATTATCATCTCCGCTGCTTCGCTTGCACTGAGGACGACCTGCCGCTTCAGTTTATAGCTTTCCGTAACACCAAGTTGCCTCATCGAACCGATGGTGCCCTGATTCATATCTGAAAATCTTATAAGTTCGGGATCAACTTGAAAAGAATGCAGTCATACCCAGTCCGACATCTGACTGCCCCTCATAATGAGCTGCTCTTAGCCTGGCGACGAGGTCGCTAGAGTCATAGCCAGCGTTGTCCGCAAGGATAGTAGGTATTTGTCTCAGCGCACGGCTAAATGCCTCAGCAGCTATCGCCTTCTTGCCCTTAACCTTCCGCGCGGCCTCCTCCACAGCACAACTCATGAACATCTCAGAACATCCACCGCCCAAGACAATCCGTGTTTCTTTGACTGTCTGCGATAAGACAGAAAGAGCATCATGCAGTGAGCGCTCGGCCTCGTCGACCATCTGATTAGTTGAACCACGTAGCACAACAGTGCAGGCTTCGCCCGCAGCCACGCCAGAGAATTTTATGAGCTGACTTCTGATCAGCGCAGGATCAGTGAGTAAACGATCGCGCCGACATTATCCTCGCCAATGATAATTTCCTCGATAAAGTCGCATTTCCCAAGTTTGACTAGATTTGGTCTGTCGGACGTGCTTGCAATTTCACCACCAGTGACAAGTGATAGCCGCTCAACACCCTCAAAATCGGCGTGCTCAATCACCACAATACCTTTCTCTGCCAAGAGAGACTCAGGGTAATTGTAGATGAGCTACCGGTTGACAAAGCAATTGATACCATGTGCGGCGATCGCGTCTACTTTGGCTTTCATTTTTTCCTGCAGTGCATCGTTAGAAAATTGATGAAGTAATGCAAGCGGGCAAGTACCCGTTCAGCCCGCTCGAGCTCAGCAAGTTTTCCTGTCGAGTCCACTGTTACTCTGGCTCCAAAGACCTTAATCTTATCAGTGTCCATCGCTTTTGAGGGACCGTGCCTCAGTTCCAAATTCACACGAGATGGTCGCACACATACAGGTATTTGCGACCAAGATTTTCGCGTTCTCTATCCGTTTGGGCGAGTTGACAGCATTAGTTTTGTCAAGAATGAAACCTTTGAGTATGCTCGTGAGATAAGCAAGATTGGTCGCGTCTCTCAGCCTACCTTCGTCAAGGTATGAGTCTGTGAGTTTGCCTCCGACCTTCTTGATGATCTGGATGTGCTCTAGATCCGTCGAACCCTCGAAGATAGTCAATACGAGCGTCGAATACAGCAATTAAAACGTACCTTCAATCGAAGCACAGCATCCACTGCTAAGTTGGCAAAGTAATCTTTGTCTTGTGATAATACTTTTGATGACGGGGTCGTACGAGCAATGTTGAAAAGATCCTGGCGAAACTGGGCAGCATCAGAGCTATTTTAGAACGCAAACCAAGTCGTTTCTGTAAGAAATTTCAAAGTGACGCGAAAAACGCGAAAACTCACGCGTGATCGACTGCTGCCTTCTCGAGTGCGGCAAGCGCAGCGATGCTCGCAACCCGGTATCCCTCCACAATTGTCTGAGGATGTATCTTCATAGCAATCAATTTCTCTGCTTCCCTCAGGAGCTCTGCTGCTAGCACGCACACGCTCGTAGTTCCATCTCCGACTTCGTCGTCTTGGATTTTCGAGATATTGACGAGGATCTTGGCTGCTGCATTATCGAGTTGGATGGACTTGAGAATTGTTGCGCCATCGTTAGTCACATTGATATCTCCCGAGGATCCAGATTACAGAATCTTGTTCATGCCCTTTGGCCCAAGCGTTGATTTCACAAGATCGCCAAGGGCGAGGGCGCCGACGAAAGAGGATAGACGGGCATTTTCAGCTTTTTCCTCGGTTGCCTGGATAAAACCTAGTGATGTCGAGCACAATAAGTCATCAACCTACCAGACTTACCTCGTAGCCGAATATGTGCATAGACATGATTGCAGTTTTGGAGTTTGTAAGTAAGTTAAGGTTTTCCTGATGCTGGACAAGTTTATTGAACTCCATCGCGTTCGATTATGTAATACGCATCATAATGTGACGGCGCCAGCCCCCGACTCGCTTATTCCTGGCATGTCTTGTGTCCATCGAAAACGCAAACTGGACTTTTTATTTCATTGTGTTGGCAAATAACTGTTAATCATAGTACTGTCAATGCATAATGCTCTTCGACTCGTAGACACCGTCCATCTTGACTAGCCAAGTGGTCACTGTACGACCACCACTCGCTTTTCTAACTTATGTAATTTGTCGCTTACACCTCCCCATGCAAACAGCTTCTTCATTCTTGGGTTCGCTCTTCCAGAACGCGGTCGATGGCGAAACTTAGGCGCACTTGCATAAATCCAATGTACTATTGTCCGTCTCTATCCACAACCCTACACAGCAAACAATGCAAGTTATTCACCCACATTCCACCCCAATAACATACAAGATCCATCAATTGCTTGATGGATTTACCGTAACGCGCGTTTATATCGGAGTGGCACTGCCCTTACGTACATTATTTCCACTCCTACATCTACTTCTTTTTCTAACTTTTGTATTGAATGACAATTGCCAACAGCTGCAATTCAGCTGACCGGTGCTCATCAAGAACGTGATCATCAATCTTTCATCGCATAATTTGAAGGCTTCCTGTAGTTGTAAGGATGATGTCCGGCAGCCCGGGTCTTCGTCTCTCATTTTGAGGGATGGTGTTGTATTCACCGCACATCAATCATGTATCATGAACCAGGCTGTGACGATTGATGCATCCACATCCCATCAACCACATGCTGCAAATTGAGTGCGATGTGTCTTGTATCGGATTCCGCACTTACCATTTATTGACATCCTTGTAATATTATGGGCCAATGACCAAGGTGGAGGGCGAGACTCGGAAGGTGTGTATATGCTTAGGACGCGAATTATTGATTGAAATGGTTATAGAGGCGAGTAATCGGTCTGCTTCATCCATGTTTTACATATCCAATGTTTCTGACATGTTGACATAGTAAGCTCCCCTCGTTGAATAATCTCGGATGTCCTGTTATGCTCAGGGAGACTGCCGATGTTCATCGAGAATCATCACATAGCAAGTTTTTTCGAAGGCTCGTATCACGCCTAGGCCTTTTTAGACAAAGTTTTGCATAGGTTTTCATTTGAACAAGAGTCTAGGGGTGCGCATTGGCAACTGTGTGGTACGGATGAGCTACTCTCTCAACTCATTCTATTCTGATGACGTGCCAACAGAATGTTGCCGCCTTCGGTCCTTCTTATCCAAATCAACCCTTGGATATGGGCGCTGCTGACGCCCGTCAATCAAGTTTTACGAAATCAGCCTATACAGTTTGAAGAACAACAAATCAAGCTTCATGCAGTCATATCAACGCGACCGAGTCTTCTTTATCCGTGTCCTCTCTCAGCGCCTGTCTTAATCTTGGGACATTGTATCTTTACTGCATATCAATCAGGGATTCCCAACTGAGCCATCTATCTCTGGCTGTACTAACCGATGCCCTGTCAGCGCCCCCACCAACGTCACGATGCAGATCGAAGATTCTGCGCTCATCATTATTGGTAACCTTATGATACGAAGGCCCGATAACCGAGGCAGAGAGCGAGAATGTGTTCATGAAACGACAGATGGCTCGAGGACGAGGAGCACGGATAGTAGACATTGAGATGTGTGCTCGCACACGGGTAGAGCGTAAGTTATCTGTTTGCTTCGTGTGGATATCCCCTATTTTTGACAGTGAATTTTTGATCTGCCCAAACAATTCTCCTTTCATCTTTTGCGGTATTCAAATTTTCCGCGATCAACATTGACGTTGAGCGCCTGGATTGATTTTCCCTTTGGTAAATCGAGGTGGGAACGGACATCATCCCTCGATCTCACTTTGGTGATCCAAGCACTGGGTGGTGGTATATATGCCATTGCCATGCATGTACCAAATTAGCCCATCGCCCACACCCCCATTCTCTACCAATATGACAATAATCTCAAATGATCCCACTTGGTGGTCGGCCATCACTGCACATCGTTTTTCCAGCTATTTTGTAGGTTCGTGGAGAGCAGTCGGATGTTGAAGCTGGTGTCTTAATCTAACCTTGGCTGCGGTTTCGCAGTTGCCTCCTTTGTTGTACTGTCGTATGATTGGGGTGAGCATGATAATATTAAAGGACTGCTGACTTACCAGTATTTTCAGCACTTACACTTGCTCAAGAGGTATGTCAATAGTATGACCGGTGCAGACTGCAGCCATCTCGCTAAGAATAGTTTTATAGGTCGAACTGGTCTGGGTGAGTGGAGTCTCATGTCAGAGGAACAGCCATGAAAATACATTTAATTCTAGAGGCAACGTTGGTCTCTAATGACAGTTCTGTATCTCGGTGTATGTAGCTTGTTTGTCATGGTTGTCATCTCGTGCTGACTTGAAAGTATCCTAGGTGCGCTACCTTGGGATCTTATTTGCTGCGTATGTTCGGAGGACTAAATAATCGGTGTTGTGCTAATCGTCTATCTCTTATAATCAGCCTGAACATAGTGGGTATGTCTCCTTAGTACATCATTCACTATCTTTGCTTCTTCTGACCAATGGCATACTACAGGCAGTGTTCCGACCATCTCGCAGACAGATACAGTGAGTCTTCTGCACAGTTGCCTGCTACTCCTCTCCAATTAACCGTGGTGCCCTGTAGGAGTGAGTACGCTTCTTTATTAACTTTCTGGTTCACTAATGACTGATACGCTGTACTGCCATAGATGTGAGTCGGTTTGGAGTGTGTGCTACCCGATGCTGGTCAATGACTGAATTCCTCAGGCTTGGTTATGTACGTTGTATTCGATTGGACGAATGTTGTGGTATTTGCAATGCTGTGGGGTGAGCTTGGCAATTGCGAGAACTCAGTGATATTGACTTGACTGAAACATGCTGCAAGTCATCATCATCACTCGATTGCATGCCATGTATCAGAGATCCAGAAAGATCCTGATATTTCTCATTGTCACCTTCCTGGCTGTCAACATTTTCGACGGAGTGGTCGGCGTAATGATGACGATACACACTTCAGGGGGTATGTTTGACTGTGGATGACACAAAATATGCCTCTCATTGATGAATACTAGAGGAACTCATTCTCTCCGGCGCCTATCAGTGCTCGATTGGCTACGCGGACGGTGTAATACTTCTGGATTCCATTGCTTGGATACTCTCCATTGTGTGGGAGGCCCTCATACTGTGTCTCGCAGTTTGGATTGCGGTAAAACACTTCCGTGAACTGCGACAACATTCGGCAGGAGGGATTATCGGGGACTGTTTCAAGGTGTTGATCAAAACTCACATGCTTTACTTTGCGAGGTGGGCTCATATTGTGATTATTGTTCCCTTTTCCCACTGAAGGGTCGGACATGGTAGCTTTGTTGTTGTTTCTTGCTTCGAGCTCATTTTGATCTTCTCTCCAACATTCTCAATGGTATGTCGATCTTTTGCTTACCTCTGCATGCGACTACGGTTCATCATTTCTATAGAATCGATTTTCCCTAGAAGTTCAGGCTTTCCTTGGCTTGCTTCAGATTTTGCAGGTCGTGCAGATGTATGTGCTAGGACCCCGCCTGATCCTTAGTATTCGAGAATATCACGCTAAGCTGGTGGCCGGTTCCGACGCAGCAACCGGCATGACCTCAATCGCTTTCCAAGAGCGTGTGCATGTATCGACTGGCAGTAGTGTGTAATGCTTCGTGAAGTTGTCTAGTGTTCTGCAAGGAGAAGAGGGATTTATTCCTGCTTTTGTGATGGTATTAATTAAGTTATTTGATATTCCGGAGTAGATTCCAAGGAGACATAGGTCTGTGTAAAGGCTTCGTCGTAGTATTTAGTTAAGTGATGTGCTATGTGGGGGATGTGATGTGAGACCAGCCCGGCAGCGACATAGTCAACATCACTCTTGAAGAGGCGAGCATCGAGAGCGTGTTGACGAAGGGCTTTGGTTGCAGAAGAGCAATTGTCTTTGGAACGGCGACTCGTGTGGTGCTTATTGGTAGGTTGTGGAATACCATACGTTACATGGTTTTGATTACAAGGCAAATCGTGTTGGCGTGTAAAAGACAGTTTGCAATCAGAGGTTGCTCTGCTGGTATAAAACTAAAACCTGGATCGATACAGAACGCAACAAAAAGTGAACGCGAAGATACCTAACTAAATAGTCACAAAACAAGTACATCATGAGGCTGGCAGATCCTCAGAGACAACATCTTCAATAACAAGCGGTGAGCTAAATGTTATCCGGCGTCCTACTGGTTGTTCTGCCAGTCTTGCGTAACAAACACTGTCTGATTCATTTCCGACGTTTTGATGGGCTATTAGAGGTCTCCGATTCGAGGGCACTGTTGCCATTGACCGGAAACTCATCCGAAGCTCGCTTTCTAGATGTGCCAACATGGAGTACAGCGGTGTTGGGCCCCGAAGAGGGGGAGGGTGGCCGAAGCTTCTGTTGTTGAGTGTTGGGAATTGGGACCGATGGCCGACAACCGTTCATTAGGCTGTGTGTTAAAGGTTCCAACTAAACATGAGAGAGGATTAAAAGAGGTTTCACAAAATGACAAAAAGTCAAACCTGAAGCAAGGCAGTAACCTTTGCAAGTTTTTGCCCTTCGGATAAAATATCAAGACAAGACCGCAGTCCCTTCAAACACCACTGCCGTTCGAGCCAGGAAAGGAGGTGACGATTCCAGAAAATCCGAAATATACGGTTGAGAGTGTCGTCCCATGGATGTGGAGCGCGCGAGATGTGAACAACCCAGTTTTGAGATGCATACTTGAGAGCGTCGGAAGATGATTGACTTCTTTCCTGGGCCTCGTTTGCAAAAGCTATAAAGAGATTCATAGCACGGATGATCTCCCTGTCAGGAACTTCTGGCGATACAGAGGTGAAATGGTCTTGGGGTATCAATGCTAGGAACATTGGAAACATCAGGAAATCCGATAAGCTTTTGAGCTGCAGGATTACCCTGAAGATCGGCAGTAAAGCCAATTCCGGGGAAATGATATAGTTGCTGATTGTTTCCAGCGTACTCGAGAATTGTTCCATAGTCGCCCATACAGATCCCGCAGGAGTGGATTGCCACGCTTGACCGTGGGGCGTCTGGAGCCACTTCCGCCCATCCAGGGTCTGAAGCCAGTTTCGCCCGCTGGCCGGGGTTTGGAGCCAGTCTAGCCCTCTCTGGGTCTGGAGCCAACCTAACCCTCCCTCGGTCTGGAGCCAGTGTCGTCCTCCCTCGGTCTGGAGCCAGTTTAGTCCTCCCTCGGTCTGGAGCCAGTGTCGTTCTCCTTCGGTCTGGAGCCAGTGTCGTCCACTCCGGGTCTGGAGCCAACCTAACCCTCCCTCGGTCTGGAGCCAGTCATACCCTTTCTGGGACTGGAGCCAGTGTCCTCCTCCCTCGGTCAGGAGCCACTCTTGTCCTCTCCAGGGCTGCAGCCAGTTTTGTCCTTCCTCAGTCTCCAACCATTCTGGTCCTCCCTCGGTCTGGAGCCACTCTCGTCCTCCCTTGGTATCCAGCCACTCTCGTCCTCCCTCGGTCTGGAGCCACTCTCGTCCTTCCTCGGTCTGGAGCCAATGTAGTCCTGGCCAGGACTGCAGCCACTCTCGTCCTCCCTCAGTTTGCAGCCACTCTCGTCCTTCCTCGGTCTGCAGCCACTCTCGTCCTTCCTCGGTCAGGAACCGCTTTCGTCCTCTCCAGGTCTGCAGCCAATGTCGCCCTCCTTGGGTCTGCAGCCACTCTCGTCCCCCCTCGGTCTGCAGCCAGTTCTGTCCTTCCTCGGTCTGCGCCCACTCTCGTCCTCCATTGGTCTGGAGCCAGTTTCGTCCTCCCTTTGTCTGGAGCCAGTGTCGTCCTCCCTCGGTCTGCAACCATTCTCGTCCTCTGCAGATTTGCAACCAGTTTTGTCCTCCCTCAGTCTGCAGCCACTCTCGTCCTCCCTCGCTCTGCAGCCACTCTTGTCCTCCCTCGGTGTGCAGCCAGTCGTACCCTTTCTGGGTCTGCGCCCAGTGTCGTCCTCCCTCAGTCTGCAGCCACTCCCGTCCTCTCCAGGTCTGCAGCCACTCCCGTCCCCCCTCGCCTTGCAGCCACTTTCGTCCTCTCCAGGTCTGCGACCACTCTCGTCCTTCCTCGGTCTCCCGCCACTCCCGTCCTTCCTCGGTCTGCAACCAGTTTCGTCCTCCCCAGGTCTGCAGCCAGTTTCGTCCTCCCAAGGTCTGCAGCCAGTTTCTTCCACTCCTGGTCTGCAGCCAGTTTCGTCCTTCCTCGGTCTGCAGCCACTGTCGTCCTCCCCAGGTCTGGAGCCAGTCATACCCTTTCTGGGACTGGAGCCAGTGTCGTCCTCCCTCGGTCTGGAGCCAGTTTGGTCCTCCCTCTGTCTGGAGCCAGTGTCGTCCTCCTTTGGTCTGCAGCCACTCTCGTCCTTCCTCGGTCTGGAGCCACTCTCGTCCTTTCTCGGTCTGGAGCCACTCTCGTCCTACCTCGGTCTGGAGCCACTCTTGTCCTACCTCGGTCTGGAGCCACTCTCGTCCTCCCTCGGTCTGTAGCCACTCTCGTCCTCCGTTTGTCTGCAGCCAATCTCGTCCTCCCAAGGTCTGCAGCCAGTCTCGTCCTCCCAAGGTCTGCAGCCAGTCTCGCCCATCCGTGGTCTGCACCCAGGCATACCCGTCCACGGTCCCCAGCCAATATTGTAAATCTAAACCTCGATCTCCCCGAAGCCATAGCATACAAATGAGAACTGCCAGTGGCTCTGGTGGCCGAACAAGGAAGGATAGTGAATCTCTTAATCGATGGGGGTCCTCAGGTTGCATAGCTTGGCTCTGTTTCTCTAGCTCCGAGAGCGCATCCAAAAGGGCCGTGGTTTCTGAAATATTTTTCATCATCAAGCGAAAAGAGGAAGCAGCAAGTAGGGAGTGGGGTGATGGCATATTGTGTTCGCGTACTTGAGGGAGATTGCAGTTTGAGGGGTCGGAAACATAGTCGCGAATGGACGAGTGATAGATATTCACGGGGTGCGTGCTATCTGCAGGAATATCCACGACGGACCGTAGCTGTATCAGCGTTGTCTGCACATCCCTGCCCAAACCAGAGCCAAGAAGTAACGAGATCTGCGAGATGGGAAGAGGGTCTGCGAGCGCGGCGACGATGGACAAGTGAATGTAAGCCCGCTCTGGGTTGGCACACGTGGAGAGGATACAATCGTATAACTTGTACACCTCCGTTCCTGGTAGCAGTTCGCTCGTTAGCTTCAGCATTAGCTGCAGCCGACTATAGGGATCATCATCTTCATTGTCGACAATGAACTTCATCATCGTAGACGCCACGATGAAACGTCTGCCTGCTCGGCTCGCCAGCTTCGCAAGATCATCCTTCGATGGCTGAGGGAAGTCAGTATGGCGACTTGCCAGCTCTGCGAAGGAATGCTGCAAGAAAATATAGATGTCTTTATCGACATCGGCGCCGTCGAGCGAGATGATGGTAGAAACGCCCTCCCCAGAAGTTTTCACGGGTATTTCGCACAACAACGGCTGCACCTCCTTGTTCTGGAAGGCTTTGCGAATGTGCAATTCCGAGCGACTCGTCAGTAGAATGTGTACGACGGGTAGATCAGGCTCGCGAAGAGCGCGTGCAAGGGAAAGGATGAGATCGGTAAGCTCGGCTTCGGATGTGCATTCATCAAGGGCATCCACCACAAACGTCAGAGGTGGACACCCGCGCAATCTGAGTTGAAGTTTCCGGAGCGGTTGGAGAAAGAGAGCCTCCATCTGGTCGTAGAGAGACTTGTCTGGGTCTAGTAGAGCGGGATTGTCACGGATAGCTTTGTTCACATCCTTCCGGATGCTGGGAAAATTGGTGGCAAGCTGATAGACAAGAGTCATAAAAAAATACCCAGCCGTGCAACGTTTCGTGTGCTTGCGCGAGAAAAAAAAAGTTCCTCCGAGCCGCTTTTCGACGTTCGTCTGCTCTGTCACTTTTAGACCTCTCATCCTCTCAGCTACAGTGAACGCAACGGCAGACTTTCCGACGCCTGCCGTGCCGTGCAGCCAAATAAGTCGATTCTTCTCTGGGTCGTCTAGTACTTCGTATATGTAGGATAGGAGATCCACCCGGGTCCCTTCCAAACATTTCGGGTGGGGCTGACGTTCTCGGGAGTTGTATTCAGCACCGTTTACAGCAACCTGGGACAGCCTCGCCCAAGTTCCTTCGAACGATGGAAGAACTGTCAGAAAGGTCGGCAAGCGAGAGAGAGACAAGAGTGAGAAAAACAGACATTGTTCCTCACTCATTCACGAACGTTGTGATATGCGTGATGAAATGGATAAATTGAAAGTACTAAGTGGGTGTGGTTAGAAATCGTCTGAGCGTTATTTATCTCCAGGGACGACGTACAAAGATTTGAAGGATCTGTTGGAATCAAAGTAAGTTGTCAACTTGGGGTCTGAAAGCGTGATGGAGATGGGATGGGATGGGATGAGATGAGATGGGATGGGATGAATGGATGTTTCAATGTATGGAAAGCTTGCTGGATGGTGGTGGTATACAGTTCAAGAACGAGGGCTGGGCGCTTGTCCGCCTGCAGGAGGCCACGAGGTTGCTGTGCATGCCGTAGTAGGTATAGTACCGTATAAGTATTACATCTTCAGATGTGTTGAAGACTCGAAGCAGAAATACTAAGAGAGATATTCTTGTACAAGTAAAAACCTGTAAATTCTGCAGGGTCTGCGTTCAAATTTGGTTCCGATTTCTACGTCAGATTCTTACCAGCAATATAATTCAAAACACTGCATTTCAGCTTCGCGCTTTATAAGTAGTAGTAGTATAATATATGTACTACCTCAAATGTGCCTTGGTACTTACGAGGCTCAAATTTCTCTTTCAAACCATCCTCAGTCGCATTGAAGAGCCAACAACCGAAGGAGTGTCCATCGATGAAGCTTCAGTGAGGTAAATTTGAAAGTGGCAGATCGAGCCGATACTATCGTTCTACATAGGCCTAGGGCTGAGGTGGAACTAAAAAAATATTTGCTGCGGCAACACCCAGACAAAGATGTCAACAGAGAGGTCAACGCGAAACTCCAGAACACCCCTGATTGTCAAAAAGCCCAAACATGAGCTACGGTAACCGGCAGAGGTGGGAAACCGATCGTGTTTTCGACAAGAGCCCTCCTCCACTAACGCGTTGGAGAGTCAGGGATCCTGTAGGGAAGCAGATAAAAATGGTATGATCATTCAATAGCTGAAACCGCTTCAACATCTTATTCACCACGTCAGGCACTATATCCGACAACATAAAGTGAAAAGATGCACATTAGATCACCCATTTTCAACTCCAACCAGCGAGGACGTACTACCCTGCATGATGAATAGGTCTTCGCGTCGACTCATGTGTCCTTTCGGCCTCACTACACCAAGAAGGACGGGCAGATCCCACAAAACGAAAACATTGAATTGATAAACACATCGGGTGGAAGTACTAACGACCAGTTGAAGATACGTGCGCGATGGAAATAGGATGTCAGCAATGAGATTTGTATGTCCGGAGGGAAAACGTTTGGTCTAAGCCTCCTTCGGTACAAGCAGCAGCTAGCGGAGGGACCGCGTAATCCAAGTGACCAACGATGGGAAGGTTGCGACCATGCCGAACCCGGCGTTTGACCCAGCACTGAAATACCTCATCACTATCGAAGTAGTACTCCGGCGTGTCCATCGCACTCCCGCTGAACCGAAGGTGAAGGCTCAGCTTGGACAACCATTTGCACGTAAACGCAGAGAGGGTGACACTGGTGGGGACGTACGCAGCCCAGAGGTCATTTGTAGAGGGGATGTAGACTTTGATGACCATCATACCATTCTCTGGTGCCCACCGCGACTCTTTTGGGCTCGAGGAAGATGGCTGGATCTCGATAAGGCCACTGCGCTCGCTCAGTGTTCCAGAGGTGATCTGATAGGAAGCTGCTCGGGAGCGACGGTGTTTACCGTGGAAGTGAACGACCGCAGAGGGTTCCAGGCATGGGTAAACAGGTGCTGATTTCACGAGGACCCCGTCCGACTGTGAAGTGGCTCCTGGTGCGGGGTTATGATTTTCACTCTCCTTGCTCGCACCAGGAAGGTCGGACTGCTGACGTCGACAGCTATCTTCGATGAACTCTAGAATAATATTGGAAGCCTGGTTATCAGTCTCGTCTTCGCTCTCCTTTCTGGATTCTGGATAATCTTCGTGAGCCACCTGGAAGGCAGGTAATCGACAAACAGGAGCAGAGAACGCGTCGGTGTACTTGGCGATATCGACGACATGGACACTGTAACGGCGAGCGCCTTGATGAGAAGGGGATGGTCGAGAAGATGAGGTGCGCGGCCAATATCTATTGGGCAGTTCCAAAAAATCTCCTTCACGCACAGAAGCACCAACAGACGTAATCTTGAAGTCGTAAGTTTTCTTAACGAACGTGATGCTGTCGTCAGAGAGATCCTCGAGCGCAATCCTCGGAATGATCGACGTTGAGAGAATATAGGAATGATGTTCAGGGTCCAGAAGGTCAGACTCGTAGAATGACTCCATTTCTGGGATATGCTGGGACTCTTCAATCCTACTTTGAAAGACAGGAAGCGACTGGTTGTGTTCCATCAAATCCGTAGACTGAGTGAAGACAGTGAGCCACAATTTCAGCAACCTATGAAAGTTGGTATACCGCATGAAGATGCCGCAGGCTATCTTCCATTAACATTGTGTGGGTTGTGTCGCTGCAAATATTCGAAAACTCCACCCCAGAAAGACATGCGACAGGGAACAATTCGACTGAGGAATGAAGTTGATGGGGAGCATGGCTTTCGAAATAACAAGGGTCCAAAGCAGCATTGGTAGAAGATACGAGACAGGGTGCAGAGATGTCCCTCGCGAGCCGTCTAGCAGCAAGTCTGGCCGGATCATCAGAATTGTCATAGGTGACGGCAGCAGGGAGAGAGTGATCGCGGAGGCCAGACCTCGGCATTCGGGTCTTATTCCTTGAGCGGTACAGAAATCCAATGGCGGAGAGCGCAACTACAGAGAAACAGAAGGAGCCACCTTTGAGGTAAACATCTTGCGGGATCCCAGAGCCCGGCAGCCCATCTGCGAGGTAGAAGGATGCAAAAGTAGATAAAGGAGCGACTGAAGTAAGATGAGTAGAAGGTATGCTGTGAACATTTCCGACGGCAGGAGCCATGAGAAGAAATGCAAATGAAGGTCATTAATCGTTTGAGAACTGGGGGGGTTCGAGGTCGGCGGCTGACGTCGAAGCAATCACATGAGGCTGACAGCCACTTGGATATCGTTTGTTGCAAGAACTGAGAGTAATTAACAGTGTGCACGAGGCATGGAGGTTTCACTCATACACCAAAGACATACTAGTAGCTGTTTCAAATTGTGAGACATTGCTCTGGGATGCGAATTAAACAAACCTGCAACACGAAACAACCCATCTGCAGGATATTACAGTTTGAGCACTAGTTCAGCGGCATCGTTCTTGGCATGAATGTGTGTATCTTATGTACTGGCATATCATGAGACTCGAGAGTAAATGTACATGTGGGGTCCTTCAAGTTCAACTTGAAACTTGGCTTGGAGTTGCGGAGAATCGCGTGCACGTGACGAGTCACGAGATATGCTCCGTTATCACCGTTAGACTTTATACCACGATCATCCAAGTCAAGCTCTCCATCAGTGCCAACATTAAGCAATGGCAGCATCAACAGCACCAACATCTCAAACGCACCCAGCTGCGCTACCACCATCGGTATTCACTCTCCCCCAAACAGCACAACTCGAGGCCCTGTACACCATCATCCGCGATAAAACCACAAGTCGAGGAGATTTCTTGTTTTACTCTGACCGGATCATTCGTCTACTTGTTGAAGAAAGTTTAAATCATCTACCTGTGATCCCAAAGATAGTGGAGACTCCCACGGTATGTCAGTTCCTTTGGACTGCCTGGGTTGAGGAAGAAGCTGGATCAGTTTCCCCCTATATTGACGTGTTTTTGCTGAAGGGCGCCACATACGAAGGTGTCGGCTTCGAGGGAAAGATATGTGGAGTGTCGATCTTGCGCGCTGGCGAGGTCTGTTGGTCATCATTGTACGAATAGCACATGACCTGACGGTTAGCAATGCTGAACATAACAGGCCATGGAAGCTGGTCTTCGAGAAGTATGCCGTAGTGTGCGCATTGGAAAGATTCTGATTCAACGAGTATGATCATGTATCCGCATCGTCTGATCATAAATAACGACTTTGCAACTAGGATGAGGAGACTGCTCTTCCGAAGCTCTTTTATTCCAAGGTAGACGCCGTGCGCTGCGATGAGCATTGCGTTGACTGCTTTGGAAATTTAGCTTCCTGAAGACATCGCATCCCGATACGTACTTCTCCTTGATCCGATGCTAGGTATGCCGTATTCTTCTTGCGACGCACATTCTTTTGATGAACACTTTGAAGCTACTGGAGGCTCCGCTATGAAGGCAGTTGAGGTTTTGCAGGAGCAAGGCGTTCCAGAAGAGCGAATCATATTCATTAACTTGGTTTGTTTCAATGCGAGTTTCATCCGAAAGCAAGCATTTCATCGTCGTCTAGATTGCTGCACCAGAAGGTTTGAAGAGATTCTGTGGTAGATTCCCATCTTTGCGCGTGGTGAGCAGATATTCGCCAGTAAAATTTGATCAAGTTAATGCATTGTCCAGATTACCGGATGGATAGACAAGTGCCTCAATGAGAAATCTTACATCATTCCAGGTCTGGGTGACTTTGGAGAGCGAAGGTGTGTTTGCTGTGCATGTTGGTACTCATCATCACCTACCGCGGATCTAGATATTGTGAATGAAGAATCGTCACGAGTAACATCAATCATCGCACTTGCCGATGACTGTCATGTAGCATTCAAGTCTTTGATCCGTCATGCCCTTCGCCAATTAGCTGCGTTTTTCCTGGCTGAGCATCTGGCTAAACAGTTGAGCTTGTAGAAGTGATCTTGTTACTATGCCAGTAATCTACTTACAAGTCGTTCGTGATAAATGAACATCTATGCTAGCCGTATGTCATGTAAGAGGAACATCTGCGTACCTCAGTTGGACAGACAAAAGGTTACTCAAAGAGTGATGGTATTAACCTGCTCGCTGCGGAGGAAACCGACAATTCTTCCTCGTTCTCTTTGCCAGCCTTCTTTCTATGCCTTGCATTGTCCGGTACCATCAGTTTGACCGCATGTGCTTTTGGTGTCGGTCGCCAGAACGATGGTGGGATTTGGCGAGGAGTGTTGACGGAAGAAAGATGCCCTCCGTATCCAAGCGGCGTTGTCACGCGGGAGGTCATGGGAGATCCGAAGAGTCCAAGTGTGTGAACAGGTGTTTGATATGTAGGTACTGCCCGCATGTGATTGAAGAGAGCGGGCGCGTTCCGAGTGAATAGAGGAGTATTTTGAATGTCACGGCGAAATAGCGATGTGACTTGAGGCGAAGATTGCGGAAATGCCGACCATGGTGTAGACACTCCGTAAGGGGCTGCGGGGCCGGGCACGGCGGGGGTAGGTCCCAGACACGGAGATTGATTTAGGTGAGTGCTGCGTGGCGGCGTGCGAGGTAAAGCCGCGCCATCCTCTTCTTTCTGTTCATTTTCTACCGGATTTTCCTGAGCGTTGTTCTGTGAATTCCATATTAATATTACCGATATCGCATGTTACGACTGAAGACAATACTGACCTGGCTATTTATCATGTGTTCTACCAAGTCCTCTATCATTGTGACTATGCCTTGAAGCTCCCTCAATGAGTCAGCAAGACTGGCGACGCCCCTCGAGACGATATGGCCGTCAATACCAAGAGAAATGAGGAAGACGCCCGCCCGTGTGAGCAATGTAGTGATCGCTCTCAGGGCATGATTATATGCAGCGACTAGTTTGTTGTTGTCTGATAAAGAGAGTGGTTTCATATTAGCTGTGGGTTGTATAATCTGTGTGCAATCGTCAATGTGGTTGATTGTCAACCGCAGAATAGAGAGCCTATTTACTTGTATTGACGCGTCAGATCACGTGTATTGATTTTGGCAACGATAGGCCGCATGAAACCGATGACCGGTGCCGGTTGACTCAAGATCAGTCTTGGTGGCACTGCCGGATCTGATCCATGCTGTTCTTCAGCGCCCGAACCTATTGTAATATTGATATTGGAAATCTGGGAGACGAATATAAGCCGAACCCGTGCATACCATGTTATGATCTTGATCTGACCTGTTTTCGCACCTTCAGGACTCAAAGTCCGAAACTAAATAGGTCAGATGCTGTCCAGGCCTCAATTGAGAAGGGTCGGAAAGCTCTACTCCTTATATTATCATTGTACTAGATAAGTCAGATGAAGGATAAATTTACTTGCCACCCCGTCTAGAAAGATTGTTCACCGGTCTCATCGCTTGAAGCGTAAAGCACTATCGATAGCTGTTTCACCCTTTTCAAATTATGGGTTTTCTGAATTCCATATCACGATTGATGCTCCGCGACGCTCGGTTAGAAATTAATTTATCCTCGGTTTAGTTTGGGATTTCCCAGAGAACCTGCTGTTCTCGGGAACTCCTCCAGGACCTCTCCAGCGACGACATTTTCACACTGTGGGTGCGAAGCTAATTAACTCGAATGGGGCCTGGTTGCGCTCAAAACGTGAGACCATGGGTACTTGGGCTTGATCAGTACTTCAATCCCCACAACTTGAATAAACGTTCCCCCTCATCCATGCAATCGACCTTGGTGTGCCTCACAGGTGTCGGCTGACCTCGGATACTTGGCTTGGAAGTGGTAAAGTTCCTCCGACTTCGATTCCCGTGTTATCACTCATCCGAGTCTAACCGGCAAGATTATCGACTATCACGAACGTTTTGAACTTCGAATATCGAAGTGCGATGGCACTTTCACAGTGGCTATTCCAGTCGTTGGCGATCCGTCGACTCGCCCTCGAATTCCATGTGATGTATGTCTGGTAGGCGAACGGTTAATGAGCTATCGCATATCTTTCCTGCATCAGATACACGGTTCGGGTGATCATGATCCAACCGATACTGATAGCGTCCTTGTAGGCATTTTTGGGCACAAATAACATTCATTTCAGTGGCACATGCCCCGCCTCAAATAGCACCTAGCAAGGTACTCATGAGCACGTGAGTTTACTACCGTCGATCCAAACTAATAAATAAATAGTAGCCGAATACAAGGCATCCGCATACACCGGGATGTGCGCAAGGTTTGCCAGTTGCGTTTCCGAAGGTATTACTGTAAGGAGCGTTCAACATTCTTACATTGGCAGTTTCCATGCTTCGCTTCCGGTTCATTCTTGAAGACATGGAAGTAGTCATATTGTCTCTCGAACGAGCTTGAGCAAATACATTCAGTATGTAATACGCAGGGGCTATTCCATTCATTCTTGCGGCCTATCGAGCTCTAATGAAGACACGTGCAGATTAATCTTTAGTCATGCCTCCCCCTATCGATTATCGTATCGGCATCTGGGCTTCATCAGAGATTCTGTCCAGCTGCTATGCCCTCTCCGTAAACAATTGTGAAGGTTGTGTAGGGACAATCAACTTTTATCTGTGTCCCCCACAATGATCAAGATTAATACCATACGTGCGTCGTGCAGTCTAGCATGACTTCGCAAGAGTGTCACAAGTCCACAGGCTACTTAATATTTATCATTTCAGCTCCACAGGTGACGTCTCGTGATAATCTAAACTGCGCTCACTATGCGAGATCATAGATGGCAGTTGGTGGTTGGTTGATTGGGAGGATGGCTCAATAGCGCAGCGTATTTCCCACTGTTTCCAGCTCATCAAAATCTTCTTTGAGACCTAACAAGCTGGAACAGTTTCTTGTGCGAACAAATCTATGATATTTGTGTTTGATTGTGTGAGATCTCAGTGTTGTTACATAGCGCCTTGTGAAAATTTTATTGCCTATGCCAGACTAGCGGATACTTGCGGATATACTGAGCTCTCCAAACAAAATTGAATAAGTACTTGCGGATCTGATATCTGGGGTTCACTTACAGTTACTCCAGTCCCCTCTTCCTCCTACATCGAATCATGTCCGCTATCTCAGAACTCCCTGTTCGTCGTCGTCGCCATTCTGGATCGACTACAGCACCAGCACCAGTCCGTGCTAGCCTGAGTCTACTTAAAACACAACAAGATGACGAAGCTGTGTTCATACCCCCACCGCGACCAAAATCAACTCCCGTTGACGAACGGCCCCAACGACGACGAAGGTCCGGTTCAGCCGAGTCTGATTCGGAAGGCTCCGATAAGGAGACAACAACCATGCAGGTTGATAACGATTCGCCTAGTCAAAAAACTCAGCAATCTTCATCATCTCCATCACACTCTCAAGAATTCACCAAAAAACGTGGAGTTATCACGCTCAAGTCAGAAAATTCTAGCCCAGAGCGTCCTACTCGTCCTCTACCTGCTAAATCTCGGAAAATGGCCGGAAATTCATCCAGTAATCCCATGCCACAACCTGCGAACCCATCTATGCTGCCAGTTCAGGCTCATGTACCCCGTGGTGGTATCGCATCGAATCAGAGAAGGTTGTTTGTCATCCTAGAGCAATCTTGCTTGGAGGCATACAGAGTTTCAAGTGGAGGAAAAGGCAAAGGCGGCAGGGAGGGCGATGTCAAATACACTCTTCTGAACTGCGACGATCATCAGGGCATCCTTGCAAAGACTGGCAGAGATATTGCGGATGCCCGCCCCGATATTACGCATCAGGTGCGCGTTATCAGAAAACGACATGCGATTCCTTCATACTAAATTTGCTCCTCAGTGCCTATTGACACTCTTGGATTCGCCTCTAAACAAGTCGGGTCTACTGCAGGTGTACATCCACACTACAAAAGGGGTGCTCATTGAGGTCAATCCTCATGTAAGGATTCCTCGTACCTTCAAACGATTCAGTGGATTGATGGGTAAGTAACCCTTGTTCATCTTGTTCTCGTCACTCATTGTTTTTGAAGTTCAACTTCTTCATAAATTGTCTATTCGCGGTGTCAATGGCCCAGAGAAGTTGCTCAAGGTAATCAAGGTATGTTCTACATTCTCTCTGGCCTGCGAGCATGCTTGACCTTGCACTTCAGAACCCTGTAACCGACCACCTTCCTGCCAACACCATGAAACTCAGTCAGTCAACTCATATTTCCCGTAAATACCCGCTCACCGCTGATTCCTTATCTAGCCCTTTCTGGTGATGCTCCCACTGTTAGACTCTCCCGTTATCTTCCGACTCTTCCGGAAACGCACTCTATTGCTGTCTTTGTGGGCGCCATGGCTCGAGGCCGCGATGACTTTGCCGATCATCTTGTGGACGAAAAGATCAGTATCAGCGACTATCCTCTATCCGCATCCGTCGCTTGTGGCAAGGTGAGTGCTTGCGATAACATCTTGAACTGGATTCTCATTTTCTGGCAGTTATGTTGTGGTCTAGAAGAACTCTGGGACATCGTCTGATGTCCTCATCTTCTATATCTCTTGACATTAAAACTTGAAAAATATCGATATGTTGTATCATACTGGCCGTCAGGTTGGTTGTACTGGTACCTTAGAAAGCATCCGCTCTTTTCATCTTTGTTTACATATTACTTTCCACCACATTCCTCTCACACACAGTAGCATTTCAACCTGCGTAGCTCCGTAAATTTATCCGCTGAGCCGCATCGTGTACTACTAGTAGATGGATTACCTCCAAGCCCCTTCGCATTAGGAACACGACTCAACTCGTGTTTCTGGGCTCTGGAAATAATGATGCGATTTCTGCTAGATTTGTGATATTCAGGCTTTTTAAATTGTTCCTCGTATGTCATCGAAGCTGTGGAATGGTGTAAGTGGAGCAACGGCACCAGCCACCCGTGATGGTGGAGGCTGTTACTGCACTGTGATCCTGATTTTAAGTTTCCGAAACGCCTGCACTTAAGCTTCACCCTCGACCATGTCTACACTTGAACAAGCCAGCGCCAGTCCCATGCCAAACGGCATTACTGATCCTAACTACCGTCCTCTACCAGGGCGAGTTGGAAACCTTACCGTCCCGCAACAACATGCCCTTCAGACCTTAAAGAATCAGCTGCTCGACGAAGGCCATTTCGTCGAGGAGAGAATGGATGATCCGATGCTACTACGGTATGTCCCACACTTCGATCCAGGAGTCTATCGATGCATTCTGTATCGCAGACCCATCCGATAGGTCGTGTGAGGCATGTGTTGACCCAGTCTGCAGATTTCTGAGGGCGCGCAAGTTCGATGTCCCGAAGGCAAAGGCGATGTTGTTAGCTGCTGAGCAGTGGAGACTGGACATGAAGGTAGATGACATCGTGCGGTTCGTCGCTTGTCTTTGCTTTGTTCCGATTATCCTGATCTCAACCCACCCAGGACCTTTGAATTCGCCGAGAAAAAGCAGGTGGATCAATACTATCCTCAGTACTACCATAAAATGGACAAGGTAGCTGACATATCCTTCTTCAAACACGTTCTTTCACTAACCGCTGTGTTACAGGATGGCAGACCGGTATACATCGAGCGACTCGGCAAGCTCAATGTCCCAGCGCTATACGGCATTACGACAAAGGAACGATTACTCCAACGTCTCATCCTCGAATACGAGAAGTTCCTCACAGATCGTCTCCCAGCATGCTCTGCAGCTGTTGGTCACCCCGTCGAGACGGTCTGCACCATCCTTGATCTGAAAGGCGTTTCCCTCTCTTCCTTTTACCAAGTCAGAGACTACGTGAACGAGGCTTCAAAGATCGGACAGGACCGATATCCGGAATGCATGGGCAAGTTTTACATCATCAATGCGCCGTGGGGCTTCTCTGCCGTGTGGTCGTTGATCAAACCTTGGCTGGATGAAGTGACTGTGTCGAAGATAGAAATTCTGGGGAGTTCATACCAACAGAAGTTGTTGCAGGACATTCGTGCAGAGGATCTTCCTGCAGATCTGGGTGGCAAGTGCAAATGTGCAGGCGGATGCTCGCTGAGCGATGCAGGACCATGGAACCCGGATGAGAAGACAGGGAATGGTGTTGCTTAGAGATAGATATCCTGATAGCGAGCTGGTGGGCATGCTCTGGCAGTAATCTACGTATACAACGTATTTAATGGGTTGTCGTTTCAGCATTCAACGATTCTCATTCATTTGACAGTAGATGAAATTCCGGAGTACATAGACATTAGGGTTGGCGATGCAAATAGCGTACGTGAGCAAATGTGTTAACGAGCATATGGAGCAAAATATGAAGGAGGCTACGGAGTGACGATATGTCATTACTTGATTTTACAGAAGTCTGTCCCTTCAAGTGGAGAGCCGATTTTGTGCCTGAAGAAAATTCAATAGTAGGACATGACCGGATGGAATATCTTTTTACTTGGATTTGATGTGCTGCCTGACACCGTCCAACATAAAACTCCGTGAGCCATTGCAGCGCTTGCAGCGATAGTCTTTTGTCTGCTTCTTGGGCGGCTGAGGCGGGGTAAGGAAGAACTTCGTTCCTAGTGGTGGTTGCCTAACAGGGGCTGTGTCATAGCTAAAATCGGTTCCTTGGATCGGAGCGGCGATTCCATGCCTATCAGAGGTGTTAGTAAGATGGGTGAAACAGAAGAGGTGATGGTCTACCATCGTAAATGATCAATGATGGTAGCCTTGTTAACTGGTTTTTCATGATGCCTATCGCACTTGCTACAGCACCACACTAGATCAGTAGCTCTGGGGTATTCGAGAGGATACGGGCCGTAGACCACTTTAAGTTGCGCAGCACTCAAAAGCTCCCAACGAGGCTCTGCGTGCGATTCCTCGACGCAATGGATGACCTAGAATGCAGTATAATTATTGAACACGTTGTCAAAAGACACAAACACAGGAACGAACACTCCGACGCCAGTCCATCGCCATCCGGTAGGATCCTCCGTTCTCTAGCTTGGGCGGACAGTTGGAGCAAAAAAAGTGACACAGGAGTTGATCCATTGTGGTTGCAGTCGTAATTTTGGCATCAAGGCCGACCAAGCTTATCAAAGAGCGGGCGGCAGTAATCCCAGATTGAGAGATCGAAAATGTGCAAGCTGCTGCTGTCGCCATCGACCCTGGGTAAAAATGACGAGAAGAGCATTCGTGATGCTGCACTTTGTCCCATGTGATCAGTGGGAAAGGACGCGAGGGAACACATTGGAAAATAGAAGTGGCTAGTTGCAGTAGGGTCTCGTCAGGGGCGTCAATACCCTGATTTTGTGGCGCCAGGGTATCTTGCGATACACCAGTGGAGGGGCGAAGGAGTTGCGTCAGTGCGAGCTTTGTTTGATGGATATACCTAGTACAAAATTCGGGCAATTTGTCGGCAAAAGTACGACAAGCATTGATCTCGCTTTCTCGTTCCACAGCGGGCGGACTGTTGATAAATTCCGCGACATCATAGAGCTTCAAGAAGGATTTGGAAGGAGGTACGAGAGTTCGCAACTGCCGCACGTAGTCGCCATACATCTCCAACAGGTGCATCTTCCGGTAATACGATGCATTTTCTTGGTCCTCGAGACGCCACTCTTCCTTCAATTCAGAAAGATTATGCTCGATTCTTGGGAGTAAACGCTTCCACCCTGGAAACTGACGTAGTAAGAGGATAATTTTTATGATAATGGTAGAAGCACTGACGTGCATCGGTAAGTTCCTTATCCATGGCATATTCACGATGACGGAACATGCGCGTCACATCGTTAGCATCGTGGCCGAGTTGGACTAACCTAGCTTTAATCCTGGGAGAGGATCAAGATGGGATGAGATAACAAGTCAATGGAATATACTTACAACTCTTTATTTTGGCTGCGAAGCTCGTCGGCCGCCAATAGATGATGTTTGCGGTCTCCATCGACCCAAGCATTACACACTGCAGCATGCTTCGAGGGTGTTAGATCTAAGAAAACCACTTGCAGAAATCTTACATCAACAACAGAGTCAACATATCTCTTGTGTGATTGCTTGAAGTCTTCCAGCCTTTTCTTGGCACCTGGTTTGAACATGTGCACATCCTTCTGGTACATCCCCAACTGAGCTGCCATCTTTAGTACGTCGTCCGACCAAAAAAACTTGCTTCCACTGGCGTGACCATGAGCCCATCCACCGGCTACTCAGGATGATGAGACACTAACAACTCATAGTAAGAGTGCACCCACTGTTAGTGAATAGTATTAAATCCATGATGATTGGATCTAAGTCGGGAAATTTCGATGAAAAGTTGGGCTTATAGACCAGGCTTGACAAATCATTGGGCACATAAGGGCACAGTCATGAAGTAATGCTCACTTCTTCTTGAGGCACGAGGTGCATACTCTGCGTCTGATACCGAAGTCTATTCTCATAATTCCCTTGGTGCCACACACCTGAGGTTGTGGTCGTGAAAGTGCAAAAGGTGAAAACGAAGAGTATACATACATAACACTGAGAACCACCAAATAACAGGTTGGCCCATGTGACCTCAGACATGCCAGGCATGCAATCGGGAACACCGCCACGATTGACGCGGGCAGCTTTCCAGACCGAAACCGCACTGTTAGATAAGAGAACCTTCCGGAAAGCTTTGCTCGTGCGTGACAGATATAAAAGGTCTACCGGCTCCAAAAGTCCAAAGATCTGATGGAAAGTGCAGGTCAGATAACACGTACTAAGGTCCATGCTCATGAACTAACCTCGAGAAGAATGTCAATCGGCATAGTGACAATGAGACTAAGCGTTCTCTTTTTTCTGCCAGAGACTTTTGTTGCTAGTGCCATACCGGTGTCGAGTGCTTTAGCGGTCCTGGAGCGTTTTTTTGCAGGTTGTTTCTCTAAACACAAAAGTTAGCCTTGAGTACTAGGTTACGCGTGGAGAAATAAAAATAGCAATTACTATGTGTCTCTCCGCCATATTCACTACCGCTTGATTCACTGAATGTCTCCTCCAGGCTGCTATACTCGCTACCGCCAGTACTGTCTTCCAGGTCCGTTAAGGGGGAGTCATAGTCATAGTCATCGGCCATATCATGGTCACTGTCTAGAGACGTCCAGTCGTCGACAATGATAGGCCTGCTAATGCCACTAACCACACCCATGACGTGCTGAACTAGACTCTGGAGTGTGTAAAGCAGCGTAAGGTGGAACCGAAAGATTTGTATATTAATATTTTGGTTGGCCCGTTCAAACTTCAAACTTTAATCATTGATCCCGAAGGTGACGAGATGTTATTGTCACTATGGTCTACCATATCAAACAGACTCTTCAGTACTAGTACGCTATGGTATACAATAATACATGTCTATTGGGTGTGTTCTAGCTATGAATGATATACTTATGCAAGCCCACTACACAGGGAGGAGCAGGGTGAGGCTTGAGCTGGCTTGAGAGGCCGGAAAACGTTGGTCTACCAATTTACATAAATTAGGACATGTGTGGTGCTCAGGCCTCTGACAGGAATTACCGCTTCTGAGAAACTTTCGGGCGATAAAACAATATCTGAAGCTCACGCAAATGCAGAATGCAGCAGGTACATATTTCCTCTGCATCGACGTACAGGATAGTATAATATAAATAGTTCATCGTCGTGATGCTCTGTCCCTTACACAACCTCAACCTCAACAGGGTTAGCCTCCTCCATCCTAACCCATAACCCGTCCTATAATGACGTGAGCCACTAGACAAAGAATCGAAATTGAGAACTTACCTCTGCATAGATGGTAAGGTGGCTTTTGAAGATGATCTTGTCGATGGCCTTGCGGCCACAACACTTCGCCCACTCCACAGGCGGAAGAGTCTGGACATCGGTGGCCAAGGAGACCGAAGAGAACTGCTGGAGAAGTCGGACGAGGAAGAAAGAAACCTCGTTGTAGGCGAACTGGATAAACATAGATGTCAGCGTGAATAATTTGAGAGAGCAGTCGGCAGACCTGTTGCCCAATACAAATTCTGGGGCCTGCATTGAAAGGCATGAAGATGAATGGGTTGGAGGTAAAATATTTCCGGAGGCGGTCGTCGAGGAACCGATCTGGGTCAAATTCTTGAGCTTATGGTGAAAAATGTGAGCAAATATTCGTTCCAATGCAGTGGTCAGTCGATTATCCTGCTCACCATCTGGTCCCCATAAGTCTGTTCGTCGGTGCATCAGGAATACAGAGTAAATTGTCCTGAGATATCCATCGTCAGTTGAACAAACAACCCGTTTCTTGATGTAATCACATAGTATTTGGAGGGATGTAGATCGGTTTACCCCCATTGATTCCCGGCCAGACCGTTGGTTCTGTACTGGTCCTAGTCCATAATGAGCACAGAGACGCACGTATGGGCGGAGCAGTATTTACTTGATATTGAATGGCCTGATAAATTTAGAGAAATTCAATGAGATCAAGTACAACAAAATTAAAGGGAGTGAACCCGAGACTCACACAGGCGGGTAGAGCCGAAGCGTTTCTGAAATTCCCGTGTCACCTCGAGAGAAAGTAAGATTTGAGTAGGACTCACCATTAATGACTGCTCTTAAATATTTCATATCGCGCACATCATCGTAGGTCGGTCTCCTTGAGCTACCCACTTTGCTAAGGATCTCCTCCCGAAGACGGCGGAGAACATCGGGATTCTGTGCGAGCATATAGATGACAAAAGTCAGGGTAGCTGCAGTCTGGAAAGAAAGGTCTTAGCATCTTGAGAATGTCCGTTTGAAAGAGGTGCATACAGTATCACGTCCAGCAATCATGATGTTAAGAATTTCGTCCCTGATGACAACGGGGTCTAGAAGGAAACAAATTCATGTCATTTAAAATGACGCAATGCTTGCGTTGCATACCTTCTGTATAATTTACCAAGTGATCGAGCAGCGTTTCGCCTTCTTTGACGTCCCTATCCTTTGCGTCAGCCTTCTCGTCGATATTTTCCTTGAGCATTTTGTTCTTTTCTAACGCCTCCTTGAGGATAGGGTCGATGAACTCGTAGCAAGTACCCATGTGCTTCTTAACACGATCAGTCCAAAATTCAGACAGGCGCCACGCTGAGCCAAACCGGCCGCGATAGGCGGTAGCAATCTGAGCATCGCTAAACGCATGCGCAAACTTGTCGGCTGGGTGGTTCGCAAACGCGACGTCTTTAGAACGGGGCGATGATGGTGGGTAGATCAGGCCAGTGGAGAGAGAACAGACGTTTTTTCCAAAGAGGAAATCCGTCGCAGAATCTAAGGTGAAACGAGAGACCATGTCCTAAAGCAATGTCAGCAAGAATAAGCATATGGTAGTCATCGAAAGTTTACCTGGAAATCAACGGGGTAGCCATCTCTGAGTCTAATCTTTAGCTGGCTGATCGCGTCTTCCGCGTGCTTGTCAAATATATCAAAATGACTAATCCGGTCTTTGTTGAAGAACGGGCGCGTCATCGAGCGGTGGAATCTGTAGTCACTAGATTAAGCCTGAACAACGAACGGAAACAGATAAGACATACTTCCAGACATCCCCTGAAATGGACAGTAAACTACATTGTCACGATGGAATACAGGAAACTGGCCCACCATCGGAATTGAACACTCCAGTGCCAAGGAGAGAGTTGGCTTGGTCCCGAAAGAAAGGCCCTGTTGGTTTAAAACGTCATTCCATCAAATCGGGACAATACTCCGCACATGAAATCGCCGACCTTTCGCAAATGATGTGAACTGTGACACTAGAATTGCCTGTTACGCATGAATGTTCAGGATCATAACGCTCCGATGAGCTGCTCACCTTTATGTATTCTGGTTCGGCGGTAAGGATCTGTTGATCGCGACAGATCAACAATGAAACTCAGGGTGTGAAAGAATGTACATGCCCTATTTTCAAAGAGGACTCGCATGTTAAACGTATGTCCAAGAGTGTTACACTTCTCTCCCATGAATTCCCCTACGATCGTAAGTATCGATAGAAAGTGAGGTGGTTTAGTAGCATACCCATGTATCCAGTCTTGAAATCTTGTACCAAGGCTGCGAGGGTATCCAGACTGCCAGGCCATCTACTTGGAAACTTGGGTGGGAGAACAGCACCACGCATGGCAGCTTGACGCCTATCGCGATAATTTTCTGCAAGCATGCTGCAAGTGAAGAGAGCAGGAAAAGAGAACACATATGCAGGAATCTGTGACCATCCTGGCAAGGATATGCCAAATGCAAAGTCGCAGATGTGGTTTAGACCATAAACTATCGCGGGCGGGAATAGGAACTGTGGTAAGCAACTGATGAGATAGACAATTCCAGGCGGCAATTCCATTGTTATACGGTGTGCGTTTGGTCTGAAAGGTGTAGCCAACTTTATGTAAGTGTGAGCTGGCAGAATCACATGTACTGTGGCCACGGTACAAAATTGTAGCGGTGCATGAGACCCCCGGCTGCTCTCTATAATGTTTGGCCGCCAGGACGCTCCAAAATGGCCCTCAAAGAGGCACGGTTGAGAGCGTCAAATCAGGCAAGGGTAGTCATGTGTCATAAAAATATCACGGCGGTAGTCTGACAAGGAAAACGATCGCGTTCTGTGAGAGACTGCTCGCAGGCCACATCCTGGATGATTGCCCCAAAAGCATTGAGTGTGAGGATAGGCAGTTTGTAGTTTGTGACCAGGATTGATTAACGGGGCAATGGACTTCGAAGTTGCGTACAGGATGTATTTCTCGATGTAGTTAGTGCAGGGGGTGGAACGGCAATTGGCAGAATGGCAGAAGTCGGCAAAATATATTGTGAGCGTTTTTGGCTCTTTTTGTGTAAGTTGTACAAAGCTAATTGGCGGAATAGCGGTTGCGTGTCCGTCGCGGATCCATGGGACTGGGTGTGTGCTGCGCCTGCGATTAGTACCCAGGTTGCTATGGTTGCGCAGCCACACGTGCTCTTTTCTTTTGGCCCGTTTCTGTCGGGTGATGACGCCACCTCAGGCAGCAGTTCTCGGTACACTACCAACTGCCTGTGGTTATGAGCTTAGAAAGAGGTGAGATGTAGAGAATGTTGCACATTCTGACGCTCGCTACATCCGTTCTAGGTACCTTACATAAGCACCTAGTCTCTCGCTTGTAGCAGATCTAACTTCCTCAGTGACTTCCCACGAGAAGGCCTGTGATGGCAATTCACGCAAAATGACAATGCTCAGAATATTTACCACAAGTAAGCTACCGCCCATCGTCGGCTGCAACGAAGAAACGTCATAACGTTGTCGTACACTGCACTTGTTACTCAAACATCCATTCAGCCCATCCCATCTCCATCGCGCTTTAGCCTTTGGGACCCCAAGTTGACAACTTACTTTGACTCCAACAGATCCTTCAAATCTTCGTACGTCGTCCCTGGAGATAAATATCACTCAGATGATTTCTAACCACACCCAGCTAGTACTTTCAATTTGTCCATTTCATCACGCATATCACAACCTTCGTGAATGAGTGAGGAACAATGTCGGTTTTTCTCACTCTTGTCCCTCTCTCGCTTTCTGACCTTTTTGACAGTTCTTCCATCGTTTGAAGGAACTTGGGCGAGGCTGTCCCAGGTTGCTGTAACGGTGCCGAATACAACTCCCGAGAACGTCAGCCCCACCCGAAATGTTTGGAAGGGACCCGCGTGGATCTCCTATCCTACATATACGAAGTACTAGACGACCTAGAGAAGAATCGACTTATTTGGCTGCACGGCACGGCAGGCATCGGAAAGTCTGCCGTCGCGTTCACCATAGCTGAGAGGATGAAAGGTCTAAAAGTGACAGAGGAGACGCATGTCGAAATGCGGCTAGCGGGAACATTCTTTTTCTCGCACAAGCACACCAAACGTTGCACAGCTGGATATTTCTTTGCAACGCTTGCCTACCAGCTTGCCAATAATTTTCCAAGCATCCGGCAGGATGTGAACAGAGCGATCCGCAACAATCCTGTTCTACTAGACCCAGGCGTGCCTCTCTGCGATCAGATGGAGGCTCTTTTTCTCCAACCTCTCCGAAATCTTCAACCTAGATTGCGCGGGTGTCAGCCTCTGACGTTTGTTGTCGATGCCCTTGATGAATGCACATCCGAACCTGAGCTTACCGACCTCATCCTTTCCCTTGCGCAGGCCCTTCGTGACCCTGATCTTCCCGTGACACACATTCTACTCACGAGTCGCCCGGAATCGCGTATCTGCAAAGCCTTTCAGGACAAGGAGGTGCGGCTGTTGTTGTGTGAAATACCTGTGAAAACTTCTGGGGAGGGCGTTGCTACCATCATCTCAGTCGACGGCGCCGATGTTGACAAAGACATCTATATTTTCTTGCAGCATTCATTCGCAAAGCTGACAAGTCGCCATACTGATTTCCCTCAGTCATCGATGGATGATCTTGCGAAGCTGGCGAGCCGAGCAGGCAGACATTTCATCGTGGCGTCTACAATGATGAAGTTCATTGTCGACAATAAAGATGATGATCCCCGCGATCGGTTACAGCTGATGCTCAAGCTAACTAGCGAACTTTTACCAGGAACGGAGGTGTACAAGTTGTACGATTGTATCCTCTCCACATGTGCTGACCCCAAGCGGGCTTACATGCACTTGTCCATCGTCGCCGCGCTCATATGCCCTACTCCAAAGCCCGGCTCGGCCTGGGGCTTCAGGCCGGGCTTTGCACTAACCGTAATGCACACATAATAGGGGGTTAGGGTTAGGGTCCAGATTGCAAGCTGCTGCACCGGGGTCTCTGGCCAAACAATTGCCTTTTCTATCGAAGCTGATCATTGTTGTTCGAGCTGATCACTCTTGCTTTCCATACGTTTGCAGTCTTAAGCGAGACTGCAAGCCTCACCGGTGAGACCGTCAATTTTTCACACGAAGTAACAGTATGAAGACTCTTACACACCCACCGATGGTTTGGAGTCTGGCTCTAGCGCAGAACTTCTTTGCTCGTTAAGCGATGCTTCCGAGTCAACAGCTTTACTACTCACTCCGGTAAGCAGAGTCTGGAGTCTTTTTGTTGTGATTGACGTGAGGTCTCCGGACTTTTTTTTTTGAGAGTTTGAATTCGAAATTACTGAGAAAGGTCCGAATGATAAGAGGATACTAATACCGTATAAATACAGCTGTCAGGGAACGTATGAATTCCAGGCATAGAGCCTTATGATCAGCATGTCTGTCCCCTATGATAGCCCCACTGCTGGGGAACTAGCCAGCACCAAGATCTTCATACCTGACACGGTCACCTCGACATGGCCATGGCCCCGTCATCTCAATCGCACTACGCTTGGGCGAATCTGCTGCTTGGTTTGCGAGCCTTAAAGTCTTTAATGGTGCTCGAGTACTGGATGCCTTTGAACGTAGCCGTCCCGCTAAGACATGGCGAATGATAGTCCTGTCAACATGTTCACGAGTCATTTGTCAGAACTTGCGGCTTGTTTAGGCCACCCAATCGCGAGCAAAGGTACTTAAGCCATGATTCCAACCAATAACTTACTGAGAAATCCATCCATTGGTAGCGCATGCTCGCGGCGTTTGCGACCTAACGAGATTGATGTGCGCCGCGACACGATCACAATGAAGACATTTTTTCGCCCTTCTGGAATTGGGCCTGGATATCACAGATGAAGTCATGTCCCACCCAACAATTGAGATCATGACTACCACATCCCTCGACATGATGCTTTTTGATAATGTCAGTGATTTCTCTGCGGACACCGCGCTGATGACACTCATAAAACGTATGACAGGACATTATATCCTATAATTTGGAGCAAGCACGTGGACTCTGGAGATGCTAGTCACAACATCATAACGATTGTCATGCGCGAGCTTGACACGGACATGAATGGCGCCATGTTATGGGTGGCAGATCACCACGTGGAAACCCAGAAAAAGTTCTTGGAGGCGATGACAGTCGTTCCGAAATGGGGAGAGCCCATTGACTCGCAGGTGAGAGAGTACTGTGATGGCTTGGGAAACTGGGTGCGCGCAAATCATGAGTGGAACTTCGAGAGCGAGAGGTACTTGGGCACAAAGGGTCCAGAAATTCAAAGTCAAAAATGGATGTTGCTGATGCCGAAGGACTGCTTGAAAGATTCTAAAGAGATTGGACCTGTGATTGTTGATCCCTCTTTGTTATAGTATCACTATGAACTTGAAGTCGTGTGTAGTCTCACATACCTATGTATATCTCACATGTCCTCTCCTTAGCTTGTGCAATACGTCGGCATTGCTGGGAAAACCTCCCGTGCTAAATTTGCAGAATGAGTTGGTTTTACAGCTAAAATGATGAGGAAAATAAGCGGGCTGGGTACTGGAGCGATGTATCCGCAACTGCGTGCCTGCGTGTCGCGAGCAGGCAAGAAGTGGTGATGAGCACTACACTACGACAAGCTCGAAGGACACTGAGTAGCTAACTAGGCTACGGTGCCACTCAGTACTAATGACTGGCATTCAATCCAGACCCGCATCCCAGTCCCCAAAGATTATCTGAACCTCACGGCCACACAAAAGCAGAGTGCAGCAGGTACATATTTCCTCTGCATCGATGTACAGGATAGTACAGATAATATAAACAGTTGATTGTCGTGATGCTCTGTCCTTTATATTTACACAACCTCGCCGTCAACAGGGCTAGCCTCTTCCATCCTAACCCATACCCCGTCCTATAATGACGTGAGCCACTAGACAAAGAATCAAGATTGAGAACTTACCTTTGCATAGATCGTAAGATGGCTTTTCATGATGACCTTTTCGATGGCCTTGCGGCCAGAACACTTCGCCCACTCCGCGGGTGGAAGAGTTTGGACATCGGTGGCCAAGGAGACCGAAGAGAACTGCTGGAGAAGTCGGACGAGGAAGAAAGAAACTTCGTTGTAGGCGAACTGGATAAACATAGATGTCAGTATGAATACTTTGAGGGAGCAGTCGGCAGACCTGTTGGCCAAGACAAATCCTGGGACCTGCATTGAAGGGCACGAAGATAAATGGGTTAGAGGTACAATATTTCCGGAGGCGGTCGTCGAGGAACCGATCTGGGTCGAATTCTTGAGCTAGTGGAGAAAAATGTGAGCAAATATTCGTTCCAACGAAGCAGTCAATCGATTATCCCGCTCACCATCTGGTCCCCATAAGTCTGTTCGTCGGTGCATCAGGAATACAGAGTAAGGTGTCCTGAGATATCCATCGTCAGTGGAAAAGACAACCCATTTCTTGATACAATCACCTAGTATTTGGAGGGATGTAGATCGGTTTCCCCCCATTGATTCCTGGCCAGACCGCTGGTTCTGTACTGGTCCTAATCCATAATGAGTACAAAGACGCACGCATGGGAGGAGCAGTATTTACCTGACATTGAATGGCCTGATAAAATTCGATGAAATCAATTACAACAAATTTAAAGGGAGCGAACCCGATACTCACACAGGCGGGAAGAGTCGAAGCGTTTCTGAAATTCCCGTGTCACCTTAAGAGGAAGTGACTTTTGAGTAGGACTCACCATTAATGACTGCTCTCAAATATTTCATATCACGCATATCATCGTAGGTCGGTCTCCTTGAGCGACCCACATTGCTAAGGATCTCCTCACGAAGACGGCGGAAAACATCGGGATGCTGTGTGAGCATATAAATGACGAAAGTCAGGGTAGCCGCGGTCTGGAAAGGGAAGTTTAGCATCCTGAAAATGACTATCCGAAAGAGGTGCATACAGTATCACGTCCAGCAATCATGATGTTAAGAGTTTCGTCCCTGATGACGATGGGGTCTAGCAGGAAATAATTTCATGTCATTTGGAACGACACGTCAACGCTTGCGCTGCATACCTTCTGTGTAGTTTACCAAGTGATCAAGTAGCGTTTCACCTTCTTTGACGTCCCTATCCTTTGCGTCGGCCTTCTCGTCGATATTTTCCTTGAGAATTTTGTTCTTTTCTAACGCCTCCTTGAGGATAGGGTCGATGAACTTGTAACAAGTATCCATGTGCTTCTTAACGCGATCAGTCCAAAACTCAGACAGGCGCCACGCTGAGCCAAACCGGCCGCGATAGGCGGAAGCAATCTGAGCATCACTAAATGCATGCGCAAACTTGTTGGCTGGGTGGTTCTCAAACGCGACGTCTTTAGAACGGGGCGATGATGGTGGGTAGATCAGGCCGGCGGAGAGAGAACAGACGTTTTTTCCGAAGAGGAATTCCGTCGCAGAATCTAAGGTGAAACGAGAGACCATGTCCTAAATCAATGTCAGTAAGAATAAACATAGAATACTCATCATAAGTTTACCTGGAAATCAACGGGGTAGCCATCTCTGAGTCTAATCTTTAGCTGGCTGATCGCGTCTTCCGCGTGCTTATCAAATATATCAAAATGACTAATCCGGTCTTTGTTGAAGAACGGGCGTGTCATCGAGCGGTGAAATCTATAGTCACTAGATTAAGCCTGAACAATGAACGGAAACAGATAAGACATACTTCCAGACATCCCCTGAAATAGACAGTAAACCATATTGTCACGATTGAATATAGGAAACACGCTCACCATCGGAATTGAACACTCCGGTGCCAAGGAGGGAGTTGACTTGGTCCCAAAACATAGGCCCTGTTGGTTTAAAACGTCATTCCATCAAATCGGGACAACACTCCGCACATGAAATCGCCGACCTTTCGCAAATGAGGTGAACTGTGATACTAGAATTGCCTGTTACGCATGAGTGTCTAGGATCACAACACTCCGATGAACTGCTTACCTTTATGTATTCTGGTTCCGCGGTGAAGATCTGTTGATCGTGACATATCAACAATGAAACTCAGGGTATGAAAGAATGTACATGCCCTGTTTTCGAAGAGGACTCGCGTGTTGAAGGTATGCCCAAGAGTGTTGCACTTCTCTTCCATTAATTCCCCTACTATCGTAAGCATCGATAGGGGAAGTTGTTTAGTAGCATACCCATGTATCCAATCTTGAAATCTTGTACCAAGGCTGCGAGGATATCCAGACTGCCAGGCCATCTACTTGGGAACTTGGGTGGGAGAACAGCACCACGCATGGCAGCCTGGCGCCTATCGCGATAATTTGCTGCGAGCACGCTGCAAGCGAAGAGAGCAGGAAAAGAGAACACATATGCAGGAATCTGTGACCATCCTTGCAAGGATATGCCAAATGCAAAGTCGCATATGCGGTTTAGACCATAGACTATCGCGGGTGGGAATAGGAGTTGTGGTAGACGACTGATGAGGTAGACGATCCCAGGTGGCAACTCCATTGTTATACGGTGTGCGTTTGATCTGAAAGGTGTAGCCAACTTTATAGTAGGAGCTGGCGGAATCACATGTACTGTTTTTGCATGTGGTTCCGGTACGAGAAAACCATATGAACATCACACCCGCCGAGCATTCAATGGCCGCCAAGTGCATGCTAGTGGATTACAAATTTCACGTCACAAGATATTATCCGCCGGCACGATCATCTCATTTCAAACTCCGCGGTATGTCATAAATTTGAAATGACTAATTTATGTGCTCTGAAGAAGAAATGATTTATAGAGAGAGAGAGAGGTAGCCAGAGGTGGTGATGGACATATAGTTGGGCAGACAAGTTGTATGTTAGTGTTCGGCTATCAGGTTCGAACATAAAAATAATAATCCGGATATGAAACCACCGAAGTGGGCTCAAGAGAAGTCCACATGCACGACTGGTTGGCGGTAGTTGCAGCTTACCTCATTGATCGCCGATCCCCGAATACGGTGTTGCGCAGTATGTATATGTACATAGAGTCTTTTAACTGCTACCATACGGCTGTTCTCTAATTCGAACGTCTGAACTTCCGTGGGCGGCGGGGGCGCCACGCGCTGCAACACAGGTACGTAACTTGTAAGACGCGGAAAGTGCTTAAGCGCTTAGTACTTGTGGTGGTGGAAGGTCTGTGTCCTTCAAAGTTTGACAGTTAACGCGCGTCACATATGGGGTTACAACTTCACCGACACGTAGCTCACGCAGCCCATACTCAGGCTGGTACCGGTTGATATCATCCCACTTGAGTTAAAACCTTTCAGGGATACTCGGTGTAACGTTCTCCGTCTAGACGAAATTACATTAACCATTGCACAGTCACAGTCAATCGAATGTCCCCTTGGTGCAACAACCCATTCAGAGAAGAGAACTGGTCACCTTCCTCGTAACTTGTCTTCTCGGGAAGGCTCCGAATTAAGCGTCGATGGTGATTGTGTTCGATGTGCCGTCTACCGCCAGTGGGAACCTGCGGTCACTTGTGGCGAGGGATTGATGCAGCAATACCACTACTGGTTGACGTACCGGAGGAAAGAGGTACAGTTATCCTTGGTGTCATCATGCTGCACGTTGTCAGTCCCCACAATTTTTTGTTAGACTATGGCGCGTCTGTTTGGTTGTCCAGATACTCGCTAAGATTGATGATCGCACCGCTCTAAGAAATAACGATATCTGTTCTGCAGGGTTACTAGTTATGTCATTTCTACTTGACATGCGTTGCGAGACTGAGCCTGACTGAGTGGCCAGGCACGCGGCACGCTCCCCCTTTTCATTTTACTGCCTCTCCGAATGCAGCGCATCAGCGCTCAGCTATAGGGCCTGACATGACATTGATCGACCCGGGAGGCTTACATCCGGGTGCTACCCACGGGTAAGTTGCTGAGAAATAGGGTTATGACCCGTCCCGGGTCAAGTGATATGGGTACGGTTCTACCCGTCGGTAGTACCTGTGGGTGCGCGGGTCACACGCAGGTAATTGCTTTGCTAGTGTTGAGAGCATCTTGTCGAACAGCCGAGACCACCTCTTTATCATGGGCATCCTTGGCTTCGTCAGTCTTACCGTCATCACTTTGCACCTCCGACTGGTCTCCGGCAACTGCAAGACGTTCCTAGTCAGCTGTTAGCTGCTCGACTTTGACTTCAGTAGCATCGATCACTACGTCAGGTTTCAGCTGACACCAGGTATATATGAAGAATGCTTTGGAGCGCCGCAAGACCAGGGTCACAGACTTCGCGCAGTACATATCTTCACTTCCTGATAGCAATTCTTCCAGATCCATATTCTTAATTATCGACAAGCAAGAGCATGTCGTTCTGGAATTGAGGTATGTACTCTCTCGGACGTCTTGTTAAAGATTATCTCTATAAAACCGTGTCACCAGGACTTCCAGGAATGTGCGATAACTGCCTGGGCGTATCTGTTGTCAGGAGTCAGATAACAACCAGGGTAAATGATATCGCTGAATCAACTTATAAATCTGTAACAGGGATTGCGACATACTCCCATTTTCCATCACAGGATTTGCCTAGTCGAAGCTGCGTCCACTATTCTGGTACATCATCAGTCTCCCGGCAATCTGAGCAGGACCGAAGTCGGGGGAAAGTGTCCCGACATAATCTGCACTTTATCTTGCTAGGAAATGGACCGTGGTCGCACTCGAATCCTGAATGAACTGGCACCAGTGAATCTGCACTGAAAACCTATAGCTACACATGTGGGAGATGACGACCCTACGCCTGATCAAGTCACTCGGGCAACAAAGTTTCATTCCCATTCACTGCGCCGAATACGCCGTCACACTTCGCCAGTAGCTACATGCATTTAGCTCAGCACCATGTACGCATAGTATATATGGTATAGTACTCACGTGCAACGCTCGAGTAAGGCCATGTCGGTCTTGGAAATGTACACATCAGGTGCTCCCTCAGAAGTCTCGTTGAAGATCATCTCTGTGAAACCTTGGCTCCATGTCTCCCAGGAAGGTGTGATATCTCCTGGGGTGTATCTGTGGTCAGGAGTCTCAAACATGGCCATAGCCATGAAGGAATTCGAAAAGGAAGTGATGAACTGAGAATTATTGTATAAAGGACCATCCCTGAAACGATGTGTATCAGAGTAGATAGTGACCCTTCACACCGGCTTACAAATACGAAGTGAAGTACTCTCCAACATCATCTCCATGCAGGCCAGGTGGAATTGCAAACTCGCCCTGCTTCTGCTAAGCATACATAATTGTGACTTACCTTGAACTTACCTTCCACGCTCGTTCTCCGAAAGCTTCGAGCATATAATAAGTAGGGCAGACGAACATTGCTAAATCCACTCATGAAGTCAGGAGCAGGGGCGAGTTCACCGAAGGACATACGCACATTCACCCATCACAAGATTTGCCTGGTTGACGTTGCTTCCCATGTTCTGGTACATCATCGCTGCTCCAGTAATCTGAGCAGGACCAAAGTCCGGGTAAATTGTCCTGATAAAATCTGTAACATCCAACGTTGTTGATTGATTCACAATGATGTTCCCCTCATGCGTGTTCACTACCGAAAGAAGGTAGTTCTAAAAGAAGGGTATGAGTGTTGCTCTGAGATGGCTTCTTTCATCGAACTTACACCATTCAGACGGCCCTTGCTGAGTGTTACAGTGGGTCTTTCCACGATGAAAGTCCCGTCCACAACAGGGACGAATGTGAGCATGCCATAGAAGCCGTCAAGGTTGATATTAGAGTTCAAGGTTTCCAGCGTATTTACGTCTGCAGCGCGCACGCAAGAGAGGGTATCCGAACTTGAGCCACAGCTGTGAGTTAAGGGCATTAGCTCGGGAACGGCCAAATATTGACTATGGAAGGACTCGCTTTGTTCCGTTCACGACCATACTGTACAGTATCTGGTAGTGGCATTCAGATCACCACATACGTTAATCTCATAGACAAAATCACCTCAGGAATACGGTCATTATAATTGTATTGTGACGACATGAACGTGGAACTCGTCATCGCGGCTCTAAACAGGGGAGGTTGCGTGTTGCCTCCCTGAGCAACAACATGCTGTATCACAGAACCGGCGCCTGAAAAAGACGAGTAGGAAGCAAGGCTATTCGTGACAAGAGTAGTTAACACAACTCACCAGCAGACTGTCCCCAAATCGTGACCTTCGTAGGGTCGCCACCGAACTGACTTATCTATCTCAGGTAAGTTTCATATCAGCTGAAATACAAGACACGCAAGTAGATATCTTTGCTTACATATGCCTGTACCCATTGCAAAGCGTAATTTTGGTCAACTTGAGATTAAGGTTCAGCTAAAGTCCGAAACACTGCCAAGACTTAATGAGCACGTACGTAATCCAGCGTTGGGCGCACCCCCGTCTTTGACAGCTTGTCCAGCCAGAAAACCTAGCTGACAGTGGGTACATCTGAAAACCAGAAAGTCGGAAAAACATACCGAATAAACCGAGGCGGTACTGGAGTATGACAGTGATGACACCATAGTTCGATTCCACGATTAGATCTGCGCCATCGTATAAACTCGCAGCTCCTAAAATATACCTATAACAATATTAATTTTACTAACAAGAGATTATTTCACACACTACTTACCCTCCTCCGTGAATAAACACGACTACTGGGAGCCCACCCGACGGAGTGGCCACAACCACACTTCCTGGGGTGTATACGCTACCGGATGCAGCCAAATTGTGAGTTTCAGTGATCGTTCAAAGATAAGGCTTACTTTAAAAATAAGCAATCCTCCGACTGACTGACATCCCTCTTGCTTAAAGAGATGCTTTCGAAAGGATTCGTGGAAGCATTGCCCAGGGGTGCTTGATAACATTCATTTGGTTGCGTGTTAGCTTGTTGAACGCCTGTGATGGTCGGTGGAGGCTGCGGAGCTGCCCATCTCAAGTTGCCTACGTGTTTAGTGTGAGTTGACATTGTATGCGCTACACGAAACTGGACGCACCAAGTGGAGGAGCTGCGTACCGTACTCCAAGGAAGCTAGTAGTATTCGTAGCTGTGTCCACCGAACCCTGGTACTGAGCATAACCCAAGTCAACGATGGGCGCATTCGTGGTGGCCAATGCTTCTAAAGCAAGCAAAGTCTGCGAAATAACCAGTAGGTTAGCTTTGATCAACATTTTTTTCAGTCTCGTAGATCGCGGGGTAAGATACCGTGATGGAATCATTGAACCGCATTATATACCTTGTGCGTGAGGGGGTCCGAGACGACCTTACCTACTCTCTGTGACAGGTTGATCACAGGACATGATGACCCTCTGGTCCCTCAGGCTAAGACTGACAGAACGTTGAACAGTTGAGGACATGCGTTACGTCCTAGTAGAGCTTGACGAAAGAACAGATACCGACAATTAGATATACTGTTCCGAGTTTCACGATGAAACGACAGCTACATGATTGACACTAATTTGACATTAGTATTGAGCGTATGCCTCGCCCAAGAGGAAAGTTTCTACCTAACGAGAAAGCGGCCAGTCGTTGATAGCTTGCAAATAGACTTCGGTCGCAGTGCACTTGAACAACTCGGTAGTGAATTCTCGTAAAAAATATGCAGCTTACTTGCAAATGAACTTTAGCGGTTGCATTGAGAATGACAGTGACACCATTGGGTAACAATGAATCTACATCGCCGAAATAGATGCTGTTAGATGCCCGTTTGCAATGAAGACTTATAGCTACACATCTGGGAGAGTTATGGTAAACAGCAGAGTCATCAATCCCTCCCTACTTTTTTCACAATAGGCCACGTCTGACCACCAGCTAGAGCCAACAATGGAGAATGACAGAATTGCTAATTGGTGATGTTACTCGGGCAAAGAGGCTCATGCGCGTGAGTCGTGAGAAGCTATTCCACTCGCAGGGCTGCTTCAACAGATGTTGTGTCAAGTGAGATGACACAGACTCGCTGACAAATGACGTTGGTGAATCTCAGGGCCAGGCACCGCGAGTACCTATTACATAATGGGTTGTTTTGTTGTGTTTGTTTACCCTAGTTGAGCCTGGTGATGTGCCATAGAAGAAGTGATCAATATCCACTCAAGAAAATGTGTCGTAACATTTTGTCCAGTCACTCAGTGGTGCTCATCAAGAAAGTAGCTGAAATTCAAGCTCGTTTCTTCTCCGTTTCCATAATTTATAACCAAGTGCGCTTATCAGCGGGCTGCCAGTGATCAGGATGTTGCTCGTGCTGTCATCGACGACAGTCCTCACTGCTCAGTGGGAAACGCAAGGCCACTAGATATGTTTTACACAGCAGTGACATTTCTGCGAGTCCACGACCCGAGCCATCGACCTCAACTGCGAATCTCACCGTTTACGATACCCCAGCTGAGCCTTCCTCAAAGAAAGCCCGCCATCCTTGCACGTATTCTGGATACACAAAGTCTTACTCAAAGGTAGGTTAGCAGAGCACATAAGGTCCCATACAGGAGAGGTGACGTGGCGATTTTTTTTACACCCACTGTGCATTCCCATTTCCAAGCACACGCAAAAAGCCATCTTCCCGAGTCAGAACACCCTTACGTATGTAACAATCTGTCGGAAACGGTTCAGGAATCAGGACCTTCCGGCACCTCCATGTGCACGAGAATACGCACAGTGGGGCTTAACCGGATGCTGTGCGTGCTATCTCACTATCCAGGCCATCCGCACTAATTGCGTGCGCTCAGTGCACGGTAGAGGGCTGCAACGAGGTGTTTGCCAAGCACCATCAACTGCGATCTCGTACCTACCAAGCACACGCACTGCCCCCAGGTACGAAATTTTACACGTGCACACATCCAGGGTGCACCAAATTCTTCAATACGAGCCACAAACTCAAAAGTCACGTCAAGACTCACGACGATTCGTACACTTTTTGGGTCCGTGTGCATGATGATCTATCATTCATTCAGATAAACGTTGTACGTGTGCACGCCCAAACTGTTTACCTTCATCCAACACTGACTCTACATATTACCCGATATGGATATCCTCCAGGCTCATATACGCGAGGCCCACCCAGGGCCACCCTCCAACATGCATGCATTTCTCATGCAACAGACAAATCTTCGCTTCCCAACACAATCTACGCGCTCATCAGAAACTACACGAACAACAAGAGCTAGAGGCTGTCCTAGCGGACGTAGAACCATCAGAAGCAACAGACTTGCCTCGCAAACGTAGACGCGGCGGAGAAGTGGGCAGAGACTGGAAATGCGACAAATGCAGGAAAGAATTCAAATCTGTAAGATCGTTGATGGATGTTTCTTTCCAATCATTTCTAATGTCATGCACAGATGAAAGCCCTCACGACGCACAACGTGATTCATTTGGGCCACAGAAATCATGTCTGCCCACATCAACATTACTCCAGTGCCTTTAGCTATAAAAAGCTCCTCGACAGGCATCTGGCCAAGATCCATAGCGCAAGGAGCGATCAATCTGTCGCAGATCCATCCGAGTCAGATGGTGCTACAACCACTGACGCTGATACTGACTGTCCTGACAATGAATCGGCAGACTCAATAGCGCACTTGAGCATCGATCGCATCACCGAACACGCTTATTCTCCCCGCAGTCGCATGCCGACGTCAAAAACCATATGGTGTCCATACCCCAACGTTGAGGACCTACTGCTATTGCCTCTGGAAATTCCGCTTTCCGGCTCTTCAGCGCACTGCCATCGTATCTTAACGTGTGCATATGATGAGGCTTCGGCGGCATTTGAAGGCTGAGCATGGACTCGTTGGAGACAAGAGCAAGGTAGACTCTTGGGTAAGATCGCATAGAGGCAGCGCTCGGAGATCTTGATATCCGTCTGTTACGGGAGACGTCCTGTCTACAGTTTTGTTCAGCTTTTCGATGTTCCCATTTCATACCCTTCTTGATGTGGGAAGTTGATCTGTGTTTTCTCTCGAGCCTGGGCAATAGCAGGAAATGGAGGGTAGGAATGGTATAAATGCACGCAAATATAGTGTTTGCGATGCGTTTATATCATTCCTATGCTAGCATCGACCATATGCATTTCATGGATCTATCTCAAGTATCTCCATCATCGATCTTGCACTAATTAGTATTACTTCACCTAGGTTTGATCCACGTGAACGTTGGCTGAAAGCGTTCAGGGCGCGAAATGAAGAGACTAACAGGCCCGGTTTGATTTCATGGTGTATTGTCACCACGGGATGGCTTTTCAAGGGCATACAGGAGGTGAGTCCTGAGTCCTGCCCCAAGTACTGTTTAGCTTTACCACTTCGCAGAGCATCATCCTGGAGTGTCGTTCGAGAGATACAATTTATAAATCTTCCAAGCTACTTCGTCCACCTGATCCTTTTCCCGAACAAACCGCGCTTCATCTCGCAAATTCGTTGATCCAAAGTGCTAAGCTACCAGCGAACTGTGCATTGTCATCTCAAGTGACAGTAATGCCACTCGACAAGACTACTTCATGGAACCGACCACCTCCACTATCACTGGTACTCCCCTCTTCATGGATCGCTGACTTATACTCGGATCGTCGAGCCAATTCAGCTACTATGACGTGGATTCATAGAACGGTAATCCTTCAGTAAACCAGTGGCTTTCATCCGTAATCCCCCCGTACTACTCGTGTTCTCTAGCCACATCTTATTGGCACGCGATCGTGCCACATCTTCTTGACACGCGTTACTGCGTCCATCGTCAATGCTTTTCAGCCCCCTTCAGACGAAGATATGGATCGTGGACCCTCAACTCTTCAGAACACACAGAAGTTTTACGCTTCGGAGTGGCGCCTGTATCCGTGAATCTGTCACAGATGCCAACGACTGAAAGCACGTCATTAACCCTGATCGGCTATGGTTTGATGTCGTTCGCCTTGACCTTACTACTCATGGCCATATCTTCATGCCGAAATGTCGGAAGCTGCTGGAGGTTGATTGCATGTACGATGACCATCTCCAAATGTTGTGGTAGAGGTCTACTGATCGACTTTTAGGGGAAAAGATCTTGCACTTTCCAATATCTGATGTCGACGCGCAGTCCGACACAGCGTTTCTTGGTTTTCGATAGAATCTTCACTGCGGGTCGTATTGGCAGGACAATGCTCGAGGCAGTGATCTTCGTTTAGTATGCCTGATTCAGATATTGTAGGAATTGTAGCAGGAGGAATTCCTTGCGCACAGCATGATAGTCACACAGTGTCATTACATCCGATATCTTGATCAAAGAGATCGAGAACGGTCTTTACTATCTAGTATCACGTCGCACGAGAACACACGAGCTCCTGACTGAGCTCCTGACTGAGTACTGAGTCAAGGATGGTCGCTACACACATGATATACATAGCATGATATTCGACGACGTTTGGTTTTTGCGAATTAGCCAACCAGCATGCCACGAGAGGAACTGTAAAATTACAAAGATGTTTCTGCTCCCCCATCGGATTTTCAACTTGGAGATGGAGAAAATACAAATACGTGGTATGGTTTGGGTATGGTACTACGAACACTTGGGTTTCTTGACAGCAAGAAATCTATGCGTGGGATAACAAGACCTGGTATGACGTGTGGCATAAAACCAGCAGGTTCAGAATGATTACTGATATGACCCAGGAGCTGGGAGATGTTCCTATAAGCACAGGTCAGATTGTGAGTCTAGGAAACCATTATGAACACAAGCACCTTTGCAAGTTTCTCGGCGTCAGACAAAATAGCGAGGCAAGACGACAAATCCTTCAAACACCACTGCCTTTCGAGCCAGGAGACAATATTACGATTCCAGAAAGACTGAAACATGTGGGCGAGCCTCTCATCCCACGGTTTCGGAGTTCGCAACAGATGAATGGCCCAATTTTGACATGCGTAATTGAGGGCGCCTGAAGCTGATTGGCTTTGTTTCCGTGCTTCATCTGCGACACTCGAAAAGGCTTTCATAGCATAAATGATCTCCATGTCTGGTAATACTGTGGTGGAATGATTCTGGTGCCTTAACGCCAGAAACACTGGGTACATCAAGAAATCCGGCAGGGTCTTGAAAAGCTGGATTGCTTGAAAAGCTGGCTGCAAAGACGATTCTGGAGCGATTGTATGCTCTCTGATTGCCTCGAAAGTACTCGAGAATTCTTCCATAGTCACCCAGACAGTGGTCAACCGCCACGCTTGACCGTGGGGTGTCTGCAACCAGTCTTGCCCGCTCTGGGTTTGTAACCAGTCTCGCCCGCTCTGGGTCTGCTGCCAGTCTCGCCCGCTCTGGGTCTGCAACCAGTCTCGCCAGCTCTGGGTCTGCAGGAAGTCTCTCCCGCCCTCATTCTGCAGGAAGTCTCTCCCGCCCTCATTCTGCAGCCAGTTTCGTCCATTCTCGGTCTGCAACCAGTTTCGCCCATTCTTTTGCAACCAGTAACTCACATCCATAGCATTCAACCAGCCTCCTACAAGTGGGGTCTGCAGCCAATGCTGCTGGGGACGTGGCAATAGTTGAGGACGTGGCAATAGTTGAAGACGTGGCGAGTAAGACATATAACAACTTGGCGGTATAGACATATGATAACGTGGCGATTTTCGAATACTTGCCATTCGCTGGAGGGATGGTGATATCTGGGGTGGAATCAAGGTCCGAAACCAGAGTCGCCTGACCCCGGTCTGCAGCCAGTCTTGCCCAGCCGTGGTCTGCAACCACTCTTCCCCCCCTTCGGTCAGCAACCAGTCTTGCCCGGCGCCCTTGGTCCGCAACCACTCGTTCCCCCCGTCGGTCGGCAACCAGTCTTGCCCGGCAGTGGTATGCAACCAGTCTCGCCCGGCCTCTGTCTCCAGCCAATCATAAGCGTCCTGAGTCCGCAACCACTCTTTCCCCCCGTCGGTCAGCAACCAGTCTTGCCCGGCCGTGGTCTGCAGCCAATCTCGCCCGGCTACTGTCTTCAGCCAATCATAGGCGCCCTTGGTCCGCAACCATCCTTTCCCCCCGTCGGTCGGCAACCAGTCTTGCCCGGCCGTGGTCTGCAACCAATCTCGCCCGGCCTCTGTCTCCAGCCAATCATGGGCGCCCTGAGTCCGCAACCACTCGTTCCCCCCGTCGGTCGGCAACCAGTCTTGCCCGGCAGTGGTATGCAACCAGTCTCGCCCGGCCTCTGTCTCCAGCCAATCATAAGCGTCCTGAGTCCGCAACCACTCTTTCCCCCCGTCGGTCAGCAACCAGTCTTGCCCGGCCGTGGTCTGCAGCCAATCTCGCCCGGCTACTGTCTTCAGCCAATCATAGGCGCCCTGGGTCCGCAACCACTCTTTCCCCCCGTCGGTCAGTAACCAGTCTTGCCCGACCGTGGTCTGCAACCAATCTCGCCCAGCCTCTATCTGCAGCCAGGCACACCCGTCCGGGGTATCCAGCCAGAACTGTAACTCTGAACGGTAATTCCCCCGAAGCCATAACAAAGTTATAAGCACTTGCATTGGCTCTGGTGGCTGGGACGTGAAGGACAATGTGCGTTTTAAGTTCTGGGGATCCTGGGGTTGCATAGCCTGGCTATGCTTCTTCAATTTTGAGAGCGCATCCAAGAGGGCCGTGCTTTCTGGAATCTCGCGCACCATCAAGTGGAGAGAGGAAAATGCGAGTAGGGAGTGGGGTGATGGGGTGTCTTGTACTTGGCGAAGGCAGCAGTTTGAGCGGTGGGAAACATAGTCGCGAACGGACGAGTGATAGATATTCACGGGGAGACTGCTGTCGGTAGGAAGATCTATTACAGACCGTAGCTGCACCAGGACTTTGTCTACGTCCCTGCCCTGACCAGGGCCAAGAAGTTCCGATATTTGTGAGATTGGTAGAGGATCTGCAAGGACGGCAACAACGGACAAGTGCATGTATGCCAACGTCGGGTCAGCGCATGTGGAGAGGATAAGGTCGTATAATTTGTACACCTCCGTTCCCGGAAGCAGTTGACTACTCAATTCGAGCATGAGTTCAAGCTGGTTGCGGGGATCGTTGTATCGATCATCGATAAACTTCATCATTGTAGTTGCCACGATGAAACGTCTACCCGCTCGGCTCGCTAGCCGTTCAAGTTCAGCCTTTGTTGGCTGTGGGAAGGTGGAATAGCTAAGCTCCAGTTTTCTGAAGGAATCCTCAAAGAAACGATAGATGTCTTCATCAACATCTGCGCCGTCTAGCGAGATGGTGGTAGCAACACCCTCGCCAGAAATGTTCACTGGTATCTCGCCCACCAGCGGGCGCACATGTTCATTCTGCATGACTTCACGAATATGCCTTTTCGAGCGACTTGTGACTAGAATGTGAGTCACGGGCAGTTCAGGATCGTGAAGAGCTTGAGCGAGTAGGGATATGAGTTCAGCAAGCTCGCTTTCAGATTTGTCTTCATCAAAGCATTCGAATGCGGGTTGATCGAGGGTTCCGGATGTGCATTCATCAAGGGCATCGACAATGAACACCAAAGGCGGACTGCCGCATTCGCGTAGTCTACCTTGAAGGTTCCTGAGTGGTCGGAGAAACAAGCCTTCCATCTGATCGCGAACAGGCTTGTCGGGGTCTAGAAGGGCAGGGTTCTCGAGGATAGCTCTATTCACATGCGTCCTGACGCTGGGGAAATTGCTGGCCAACTGGTAGGCAAGCGTCGCAAAGAAATAACCGGTCGTGCGCCGTTTCGTGTGCTTGCGGGAGAAAAAGAATGTTCCTGCGAGTCGTGTCTCTATACGAGTCTGCTCTGTCACTTTCAATCCTTTCATCCTTTCAGCTACCGTGAATGCGACGGCAGACTTTCCGACGCCCGCTGTGCCGTGCAGCCAAATGATCTGATTCTTTTCTTTCTTGTCTAGTAATGCGTAGATGTATTTGAGAAGGACCACCCGGGTGCCTTCCAAACATTTCGGATGAGGGTGGCGTTCACGAGAGTTATATTCAGCACCCTTGACAGCGACCTGGGACAATTTCTCCCAAGTTCCTTCAGACATATCCAATAACTGTTAATGAGATCAGACAACGAGAAGGGATAAGAGATGGATATACACTGAC